TGCGTCTCGGAGCGTCAGCTTCAATATAACAGTGTATTGCCTATGACGTCAGTCATTTCCTTCAACCCAGACCGGTCTTCAAAGTGCAAAAAATAAAATCCAGGCCCAACCCAGGATCATCGCCTTTTTTATTTCCGCTCAACCCTAGATAGGTTTGCTTTTCAGCGTTTTGTTTGTCAGGTTTTACAGTACTTACCATAGTTACCGTAGTGTTACTATAGCGATGGAGGACAGTACTGCGCTTGTTTCTGCCGTTTCCTCGGCCATGCAGGATCTGTTGGGCCCGCTGGAGGATCGGCTCAGCGCCCTTGAGGCTTCATTGCAGAGTCGCCGAACTGGTCCAGCGGACAGTTCAGCACCAACTCCGGGCACTTCACCCAGAATGTCTGGTGAGGCTGACCCTACGGACTCTTCGAGTGGGCAGGTCCCATCGAACGAGGTTGTGGACGAGCCGAAGCGTGCTTCGGTGACTCCCGAGATTGCAGAATTTCTGGAGAAGGAATTTAGAGTTGGTCTGAAGACCAAGCACCGGAAGGAGATCCTGGACAGGTTTCCCCGGCCAAACACCGAGGTAGCTGTGACCCCGAAAATGGATTCGGAGCTGTTGGAGTTCCCTGGGCTGGCGTCCTCGTACAAAAAAGGCGCGGACACCAACTTGTTCTCAGTCCAGAGTAGCGTTTTGGAGTGCCTGGGCCCGCTAACCGAACTGTGGATGGAGGCGCAGCGGGCCCTCGATGCTGATTCGGGTCTTGAACCGCAAGCTGTGCTGGAGCTGATACCAGTTGCACTGCGCCTTTTGGGCAATGCACACCATAAGCTGTCCTCGCAGCGCCGGCATGCTTTTCTGGAGCACCTGGATAAGGGTTTGACTGGCATGGCGGATGCCCCTTATTTGCAGGCTGGAACAGCTCTATTTGGGCCAGAGTTTTTGGCCCAAATGCAGGGCAAGGCTGACTCCCAGAAAGCTCTGGCTGATGGTTTGCGTCGCTACCATGATGCCCGTGGTGGCACTAAGCCTCGCTCCCACTCAGCTAGTACCTCAGCCGCAACGGGTGGTGGTCAGTTTTTTTCGGCGTTCCGGGACTGGTCAGTACGGCGGCAGCTCCCGGTATCAGCCCTACCGCAGCCCGTACACCAACACCCTCGCAGGCCGCAGTCCGTATCGCGGCGGCAGCTCTCACTCCTCTCGGATGTCCCGAGGCGGAGCCTACAGCCAGTCCAGCTCCCACCGGAAGGACAGTCGGTCCTAGAGACCTTCCTCCCGTCAGCTCTACGGAAAGTGGTGCCCGACGAGATTCTCCGCGCCGGGTCTTCATTGCCCTCCTGGCGGATGCCATTCGTGATATCAACAGAGGAGATGGCCATCCCACACAGGGGTCGGCTTCGCCATTTTTACGAACGGTGGACGCTGCTGTCGTCCGATCCATGTGTCCTACAGTCAGTTCGTGGGGTCCACCTCGACCTCCTGAGTGTTCCAGTTCAGTCTACATGGCCTCATCCACGCCGATTGACAGCGACGGAGACTGCGGCTGTGTCAGAGGAAGTCAGTTCCTTGGTGCAGAAGGAGGCGATTTACGCTCTCCCCAGCAACACTCCACCCGGTTGGGTCAGCTCCATCTTCGTGGTTCCGAAGGCTGGTGGGAAGCTGCGCCCAGTGGTCGACTTGCGAGCCCTGAACAGATATGTCCTGTATCATCATTTCAAGATGGAGGGCATCGACACCCTCCGGGACTTGCTCCAGCCTGGGGACTTCCTCACCCGGTTGGATCTGAAGGATGCGTATCTCACAGTGGCGATGAGGGCCAGCGATCGTCGTTTCCTTCGTTCCAGCTGGCAGGGAGTTCTGTACGAGTTCCGGTCACTCCCATTCGGCCTGTCGTCGGCTCCCTGGACATTCACCAAACTCCTCCATCCGGTGACACTTCGCCAATTCGGAATCCGAGTGATCATCTATTTGGACGACCTGCCCGTCCTGGCGCATTCGTTGCTGGCCGCTCGGGAAGCTACGGCATTGGTTGTGCACCTGCTCTGCAGCCTCGGTTTTGTAATCAACTTCAGTAAGTCATGCCTGGTCCCTTCTCAGGAGGCCACGTTTCTGGGTTTCCTGGTGTGTTCGACGACCATGACAATCCAGATCTGACAGGATCGCCGGGACCGTGCAAGCTTCTGCGGACCTGCCGCCAGCTACTTCAGGCGGATCGCACAACTGTCCGCGAGGTTGCCAGCGTGGTGGGCATGATGCCGTCAGCGTGGCCCGGAGTGTTACCAGCACATCTCCATTTCCGGGGCTTGCAAGACTGCAAGACTGCAAGACTTGAAGAATTCCGCTTGCCACGCAGCATTGGCATGGGAGTCTGCTCTGATTCTGAACTCTGCGTCCAAGGAGGATCTCCGCTGGTGGGTTCGTTTCCTGGACTCCTGGAACGGTCGTCCCGTGAATGTCGAGTGTCCAGTGCTGACGATTGCCTCGGATGCCTCAAGGGGGCGGCGGAGGTTGGGGCGCAGTCTGCGGGACGCAGACAACGGGTGGTCGTTGGTCTGCCGCGGAATCTCGGCTCCACATCAATGCTCTGGAGCTCCTGGCCGGGACATTTGCTGTCCAGTGCTTTGCCCGTCATGTCCAGAAGGGTCTTGTGTTGCTTCAGATGGACAATCAGTGTGCTGTCGCGTACGTGAACGCACTCGGAGCCAGCGGTTGAATTTGCTAGCTGCGGACCTGTGGCACTGGTGCCTGGCCCGCCAAATCACCATTCGTGCCGAGTACATTCCCGGAGCGCTCAATGTCATAGCCGATTTCTGGTCTCGCAATCACAGTTCCTCAGAGTGGCATCTGCTTCCTCAGGCCTCAACCTACACTCGGCAGGAGAAGGAGAAACGCCGGGCGTACGAGCAGCGTATCCGCGACGTGGAACATGCTTCATTTGTGCCAGCTGTGTTTGCCACAACAGGTGGAATGAGTCGCCACTGTACAGCTTTGTATAAGCGTATTGCGTGCCTGCTAGCAGAGAAGAGCAAGGAGCCGTACAGTGTGTTGGTGGCATGGGTCCGCTGCCGCCTAAGCTTTGCGCTCCTCCGGGCGAGTGTCATGTGTCTCCGTGGATCCCGCAGCCTCAAGGTCTCCGTCGACTCTACCACCCCTGCTTCTCTTGTTGCTGCGGAGGCAGTGATTCCAGGGCACTAGCTCTTGCAGTGTGACTTGGCATTCGTGTGGTCTAACAGCGATTTTCATTTACACTTTTGTTATTAGTTTCCTTCACACCTTTTATCAGTCAATACGTATGATTTATAATGCAGTGGCAGTACCAGGCGTGGGCCATCCCCTGGATTATCAAAATGGGTGCTTTATCATTTTTCTGTTGTTTTTACACTTCTTCGTGCTTTGTAATAAAAGTCTCAGTGACTTCTAGAATCCTGTATGGTCACGTGACAAAACTACACTGTACTACATTGTGTGTTTTGTGTTTTTTTGTGTTTTTTTCCATGCTGAGAACAGCCTCTTTTACGGGCAAAAGCAACGTAATGATGAGAAACCAGGGTATGATAGGAAGATAATATTAATAATAGTACACAGGTGTGGAAAATATGTCTCCGGAGTGGCGAGAGTTTTACACTAAAACACAACTGGTTTTAGATCCGGCTTTCAACCACCGCCAGCTCCCTGAGCTCGTTAGCTGGACGATGGTATGCCGACCGAGATCCACGGACACACATGACAGCGGACCGGAGCAGCGCGAAAGACAGCCTGCAGCGCACATACGCAACATGGTGTGCACAGGGCATGCTGGAATCAGCCCTGGCAAGCAAGCCACAGAGGTGCTTAAGGAACCTTTCACATTCATGGGAGGCAACACCAGAAGTTGACAACCGTGACCAGCGGGCTGAATGTGCCACGATCCACATTGAGGATTCGCTCTCCGTACTGCAGCTTCTTCTGGCGCTCGTGCTGAAGCAGTAGGGCATCCAGTGGCTGGGCCGAGTAGGACGCCACATCAGGATGGAAGACGCGTACGTCAAAGAAAGCATCCTGTGCTCGGTTCCAGAAGCCACGGGCACGGACATCAGCGCGTGCATCTTCGGCGGTGTTTGCGGATGCAGCAGTAAACACCTCTCCAGAGAGTGGGGCTAGCTGAGGCTCGATTGCCACTGCGTGGCAGACCTCCGTGAGTAGCTCCCCTACCATGTCACGGACTTCGTTATGGCGGATTGTAGGGAAGCCACCCCGGGGGCAACACATGGCATGAGCAGTGGAGAACAGAACTCCGCAGGCACACTTCGTGGGGACATCGAGGAGAGGCCAGTCATACCGCAATGCAAGGCCGTCCCTGAACTCCTGCTTCGAGAGGTGGAAACCATGTTCCTTGAGAGGAAGAGCAGTGAGCCAGGAAGAGGGGCCTTTGCGGGACAGCTCATCCATACGACGGGCCAAGGGGCGGTCCGCAGCTTCTCAGAAAGCAGTGAAAGAGGTAGCTCTAGCTTTCTTGGAGGACTTGGCAGCAGATGCTCTCTCACGTCGGGCTAGCTGATTCACAAAGTTGCCGGAATGATGCTGCCACTCTCTGTCGTGCTGGTGGATGATCTCGTCAACCTGGCTGCTCGTGATGACTTGGGAAGCCTGCAGTTGGGAGGTAGCAATTTCTTAGAAGTATGGCAGACCAATTCCACCGAGCCGGCAAGGTAGCCGTAGAAGAGAGAGGTCATCCGCCGTGAACGTGCGTTTCCCTGTCAGGGCCGGAAGGAAGTGCTCCGAGACCGCGTCATCCAGACGCTGCAGCTGTTCAGCTGAGAACTCCAGTGTACGAAGGAGATATGTCCATCGACCACGCAATCCGTGTGTGAGGGCGGCATACGCCGCATGAGGTTTCGTAGTGGCAATCTCGGACAGTCGCATAAGCTCCTGCTGCCAGTCTTGAACTTTCCCAGCTGTATAGCCAGCGATGAAATCCAGTGTCCCTATAGCGGTACCCAGGTAGCGTGCTCCATCCATGACTATAATGTACTATATTGCACTACATTGTACTATATTGTACTATATTGTACTATATGTATAGATTATAGACCGGTTAGGAGGTCTATACAGGATATATAGACCGAGTAAAAGACCGAGGTCCCCCGAGGTCTTTTACAAGGTCTATATATCCTGTATAGACCAAGTATGAGGTCTATAATCTATTTATCGTGTTCTCCACGCAATAGTTTCTCTTCATATACGACATATCCTTGTAATTCTAGTATTATACTATAGCCTATACCGCATTGTACGGCATTGCAGGATCAAGGTCATTGTTTAAAGTAGGTTCAGCATCGGTAGCACAGTGGCTGGGTGGTAAGGAAGAGTGACTGAGATTCACATGGTTGTGGGTACTAATCCCATCTTGTGTATTTCTGCTTTCTTCAAAAATTTCTTTTTCTAAGTCCAAGAAATTCTAAGGCCTCGGTCACACTACGGCAAAAATGCTGCGTCAGCGTCAGAATCATGAGCTTTTCCATGGCAACTGACGCAAACGCGGCAAGTTTGAGCGTCAGACGCTGCTGCGTCTGACGTGGGGAAATCGGCTGCGTTGCCGCTGATGGGAGTGACACTTTGCGGAAAAACAGTGTCTTTCAAGTAAAATTAGTTTCAAGACAGTTGCTTGAGTTGAGCAGTCATTCGACATTCGTCTGTTCAAGGTTTGTTTATTTTGCTCCCTTTTTTTTCGAGAGGAGTCCGTGGACCTACGAGGCCGAGGCTGCTCTGCTCCGAACCTGGCGGAAGAGCGAGGCGTTTTCTGAGAAGAAAATGATGTCGAGAAAGGACCAGTTGTTTGAGTGGGTCATCGGCCAACTGGAGCCTGTTGACTTGTGAGTGTTGTGTTGTCGTCAAGAGCCCCAAAAAGGACAACCAGCATGACGAAGTCAGGAGAAACACAGCTGCGATGCGGACTTTTCTTGCCTGATCCATGACACTACAACTGAAAATGGCTTCAAATTCGGAAAGAAACAACAACAATCGTGCACGCGTACACGTGGACCTTTCGTCTTCTTGTAATCAAAAATCAATGAAAAATTTGAAAATTTGTCCGACAATTTTTTGGTATAATAAGCAAAAGGCCGGTTTCCGTGGGAATCCGTGTCGCAATTGAGTTTCCCTCGTGATTTTGTGACGTAGACAAGTGCGTCAGGCCGCGGCAGTCATGGGCTGCAAAAAAAAAAAAACACTGTGTGACCCCGCATCTGCGTCAAGTGCTGTGGCTTGACGCTGCGTCCAGCTTCAAACTTGCCGTAGTGTGACCGAGGCCTTAGGAGTCAAATATAAGTAGTCAAATATATTGTGTATTTGACTAAGCAGTCAAATACGCGATATATTTGACCGCTTAGGAAGTTAGGTATCAGGGAAATTAGTGGGGTCAAATACTAAGAAGGCGATAATGTACTATATTGTACTATATTGTACTACATTGCACTACATTGTAGATGCACGGTTCCGACCACAACTGATACTGTAAAGACTGGGAACCCGCGCTAAGGTTCCCTTGGTAATACCACTCTTGCATTGCAGGTGTTTTCGCACTTTTCACAACGGGCCGTTGACATAACCTAGAGTCAGGTAGTGCACACCTTTTCCTTATCTACCCTTCCATCACATAACCTCCCAACTATGGTGGGGACAGTGAGCTGCAGTGGGAGGAATATTCGTGACCAGTGTGTTGTAGATGTGGTGCTCACCCGGTAGCTTCGTTAGAGCGAGCGACATCGCTGGACATAAGCAAGGCTCCCCGATTCGAGTCCTGGCGATGGCAGTAAATGCTTTCAGACCTTTTCTCAAACTTTATCAGTTTTTATACCTTTGCCGGTTCCTTGCTGTGCATATTTGAGGAAAACAATGTGTTTGCCTGGTCAGGATGCACGCAGGTCGCAGAGAAAACTAAATTATCTGTTGATGCGTCATGTTTGTCTCAACCAGAGAGAATTCAAGCAGCTGCTGAAGCAGAAAGGATTCCAAGTGGACCATTTCGATGTAGTGCGCTTCAGGTGGGTAGTGGCCGCTTGGCCGCATGGAATTCAGATAAAAAAAATATAACAAATAACTCTTTATGTTTCGCGTGAGACTCGGCTGAAGGCCTAGTTATCTGCATGCGTAGGAATGCTGCCACCCTAGAAGTAGGCCCCCTGCTCTAAGGATCAGACATGTATGTAACAAAGCAGTCTGCAACAGTCCATTTAGAAAAATATGATATCCTAGCTTTTGGCCATAAACGGGTCAAATTTTGAGTTTTCGTCTCAATTTTTTTGCCAGTCCCCCATGGAATGCTCTTCCAATTGTGTTTTTGAAGTCTTTCTCCAAAAAGCAAGCCATAACAAGAATAGGATTTCGGCCAGGTTTTTGCCCCAAAGCACTGAATTGGGTAAAAACCATGAAAATCCAAGCCGTTCACTCCACTTGCATAACAGTACATTTGCGGTTCGAACCCCAGTTGAGGTGCCTTTTTTGGACCTTTTTTCAAGTTTCGAATCGCGCGGCACTGCACAGTGTACCACAAAATCGCCAAACACGGGAGCTCTCCAGAGCCAGCGCTCATCTTTTTCTGAATGGACTGTAGACTGATGCATTTCCAGGCTATGCCAGGTATTGCAGATTTCTGTATCTGATGGAGCATCAACCATTAGGGATTATAATCTCATTCATGTGTGCAGCCGGATTTGGGAAGTAAATCATCTTGCGAGCAAATCATCCGCGCTGAGAATAAGACAGCCCAGGCCAGCATGCTTCAGCCTTCTCCACTCAACTACCTGAACCCACGGTGAACAGACAGTCCATAAAACGAAGTATGTCGAAGTACTTTTAAAGTAGTATACTCCTGTCTTTACTCTGACCTTTATAGAGACCAGTATGCTCGCGTGGAGGTCTTCTACGAGGAGCTGAATTTTGAAAATATTGTCCAAAAGCCGGCTTACGAGGTAAGTTGCTGGCATGGCCCACCGGATTGAAATTGGTTTGTGTACTGAGAGCTATGTACCCATCTTATTGTCATTGTGGAGCTCTCAGTGGTGCTATTCAAGTACTAGTACCCATTTCCCCTTTCATAGACTTCTTTCAGCCTTTCCTCAGTGAATGATGTCAGTAAGCGGGTTGACCTCTAGGGATGGAACTCATGTCGAGCTGATTATTTCTGGTCTTTCCTGTGCTGAACAGCCGGAAAACCTGTTGGCTGACATGGGAGGCCAGCTTGGCTTGTGGCTGGGATTCTCAGTGCTGGCAATTCTCGAAATCATCGAGTATCTCATCTACATGCTGCTTGTTGCCTTGGGCAAGGTCAAGTTGCCAGACGAAGAAGACTATCTGAAAGCCAGGGATGATTAGAATGCGCAGAGGGCATCAGTTTAACGCTGAACGGCTGCAGGCTTCCGTCAGTCGTTCTACTCGACCACAGGTTAAATTTTAATTTAATATTAAAAAATATAGTTCTAAGTGCAGTTCAACTTGACCACACAGAAAATGTCATGAGCACAGATTATTTCATGGAATTGTACATATCATTATGGCACCATGTCCACGCGCAGAATATATAACCTAGCCTAGACCTTCACAGGAGATCTATATAAACGGCTAGCCACAACATTCCAGGATCACTTACTATGTGGATTTAAACTCTAGCATTATCTTGGTTTAAATGTTGTACTTTTCTTATTGTTCGCGAACTCCAATGCAGCCACTTAGACAGTTACGCCTACGTAATTACACTTTGATTTATTCGCAGTGAAGAAGAGACTGTTATTGGTGTGTTGGAGTAAAGTTTCATAAATTTTGACGTTGATCATCACAAAATAGAAACAGCACATGTAATAGATCACTAAGCAAAGTCACACTCTACCGCACAAGGCTTTCACACTGCACTGGTCTACTCACTAGTGATAATACACTGGTGTCAATGTGAGATCATTCACATCAGCGGGAGCCTTTTTGTTTTAGCATACGCATACTTTTTTGCAAGTCGTCTGATTTTCGGCTGACAGCAATTGAATCAGTCCAAGTTTGCTCATCGGAACCAGAACCAGTAAGTAGTACAACTGTATTTCCGACCAGTTAGCCACCGCCATGAGTTCCCTCAGGAACGGAGACAAATAAAAAAAGTGTTTTGATATGTACAACGAATGGGCAGGGCCAAGGCTCCAAACAAAACATACATGTGCGACTGGTGCACACAAGTCGAGCAAGGCCCCAATTACAAAAACTTCAAGTCAAGAATATGCTGTACAGAGCATGATTTACACTTCTGTCTATTCATAGTAAAGATATTTTTTAAAGTTCCCAGCTGAGCACCCCAAATTGCAAACCCAACAGAATCAACATAATTCGCCTGTTTATTGACCAAGTACAGGTAATACATAAAACAGCTGGCATTCATATTGACTATTCAAAAAATAAATCCATAGAAATCCAAAGAAAGTCCAAATTCGGCATCGCTAGGCTCACTAACACCAGACAGCTGTCAGATTAACATTATGCATGACTACATTGAGTTCTTCATGCATCTCAAAGGGCAGAAAGCTGCCAGGGGTTTCAAGAGCACGACGTTCGAAAAAGACGTTGCTTCGGCAAGAGGATGGTGGCCCTGTGGCATCTACTCCGAACTTTCCGGCATCATAGATATTAGAATTTCGATGAACGCTCGGTAGCAGAAGACAAGTTGGTCCTGAGAATAGCCACGACAAAAAAACGACCACACAACAGATGAACAATTGATAGGTTGTACGCTTACATCATCAGTTGAGACGCGGGGCACAGTGATGCCCTAGCTCAAAGTGAAACCGCTGACTCACCCTGTACTCATAACACCAATAAGCGGTTCTGCTGACTCACCGCCATCACCATCATTTGCATAACTTATAAAGGTTAGAAGATTTCATGCAACTCAATCGGCAGCAGAGCTCCAGGTCAGCTTGCTACGCAGTCCCAAGTCGTATAGGACGAGGTAAAGGAGATACCCTCGCCAACACATACACTGCCATGTACATTGTATCAGATTTTGGGCCCTAGGAAAACTTGAATGTTTACGACTTATTTACAGCACATAAAGCTGTCTTTCCATTCATTGAGAGTGTGCATATACAAAGCGGCAATGACGACTGTATTGTAGCCATGGTAACTGACCTTGGTTTGCACCATGAGAGGACGGCACTGGCGTAACTGCCGCAGAATAGCATAGATATCAACCTGCAGAGTGCATAGAGCGAGTACGCAACAAGTAGCACGGAGGCACATGCATGCCCACACGCATATAGATAAGTGTGCGTAGGATCGTCGCGGTGCTGTGCAGCTGTTGTGGTATGTTACGGGTGTGACCTATGTTAACCCCAGTGAGTGCTGCAGAGCATGAGAGCGCAGCACGTGTGTCCATGCTTCGGTGCCCTATGTCACAGCTTGGTTAGTTGAACGATACTAGCTTTTTTCCGTTTCCATTTTTCCCTCAAACCAGTGAATGCTAGCTTCTTAAACTTAAACATCTCATTTCATACTCCTTCAACACTAACTTATCTCATCACTTACTTCTTGGTCATTGATGACACGTGAGATGACCGAGTCGACAACACAGAATGCACCACTGCGACCCACACCAGCACTGGAAGAGGCACAGACAAACCGAGAGGACGGCACATGGCCAGGATCGACATAAGCAAGGTAGCGTATGAGTGTAAAGACTAGTCGAAAAGCTATTATTACACTGAGTTACTACTGCTGCACAAGACAAGGATGGCACAGACATAATAATTATAATCTGAGCACACGGGCACACTGGCATGAAAGCTAGAAGTTTAAGCTACAGCACAAGCATAATGTATGCACCTTACATGCACAGTTCTGCTCAATGAAATTCGATCAAGCGAGTCAGTGCCACGCCGCCGGGCGCTGTGCAGCCCCAGACCTGCAAACACTGGGATGTGAAGTAGGGCAGGGCACAGGCCAATTTGACTCACACAACCGGATATCATTGAGCAGCACTGTAGATCAAACGTGAATGCAGCAGCACGGCGGTGTCCCTCACCTGCAATGGACGATCATTCTTCCAGTTTGATGCATGTCCCGAGTACGGCACACAAACCGCACCATGGCAGAAGAATCCTGGATAGCCGTGGCATGCAGGTGGCAAAGCAAAAGACCAGCACATAGGTACAGGCTAGGAACAGCACAGGTAGCCGTGACATGCTGAAAATAACACCACAGCTTGTTCTGCGGCATAAACACATGCCATAGAACAATATGGTTTATTGTGAACATCAAGTACATGTATTACTGACAATTTGTCCTGCTGATCAGGTTACCTACCTTGGGTACCCCATGGTCTGGCCATGTTAGATAGTGAAGTTGTGTGACCGTCCGCGACTCCAGCGTCTTCACATAGCAGGACGAGACCAGAATAGAGAAGCAAGACAAGAGGAGTGCATGAGAGATATTACTGGCATTGAGCTGAATGTCTTACCGACCTATTTTGTAGCTGCCTATCTTACTTTGGAGATATTTTGGTGGTAAAGTGCTTATCACACTTCACCATACATACCCGTTTAAAACAATACAGGCAATATTGAACAGGGAGGGCAATGATGTAGTATGCCTTTCTCACTTCACAATACAAACCCATTGACCGATACAGGCAAAATCAAACTGGGAGGGGGGGGGGGAGGAGAAGGGAAGAGAGGGGAGGGGGCGGGGGTAGATATCATGTACTTAGTGCCCAGCATAATTCTCACACCAACCACCACACACAACAGCAAAGTGGCTACATGTAACACAACATTAGTTATACCTGCACATCCGACACCAGCAGCTTTCTTTCCATCCAGTTTCCATCACCACAATGCTTCTCATCGACTAACTGCACCACCAGTTGCCTCGCTGCACGTTCATGACCTGGTTGATTAGCAGACTTCTCTGGCCTGGACATGTGAGAGGAACAGATAGGATCACTACTGTCATACGTTATGCATGGACAATGAAATCCACCCTTCACTCCGTGTTGCGGCAAAACGACTGTTTGCTGTGTGCTCAACGGTGTAGACCTACTTCAGTATGGATTCTGTAAATTTCTTTTATAGCAAGACATTGGTGTAAAGACAGAGAAAATGAGGAATAGGTAGATAGGCAGGTAGGCAGGTGGGTAGGTAGGCAGGTGGGTAGGCAGGTGGGTAGGCAGGTGGGTAGGCAGGTGGGTAGGCAGGTGGGTAGGGGCATGTAGGTAGATAGATGGATAAACGGACGGACGAACGGGCAAACAGACAGATAGAGATAGATGGATAGATAGATAAATAGATGGATGAATGGATAGATGGATAGATGGGTGGATGGATGGATGGATAGACAGAAAGACAGACAGACAGACAGACAGACAGACAGACAGACAGACAGACAGACAGACAGACAGATAGATAGAGAGATAGAGAGTGCATGAGAGAGAACTATACATTTTGAAGTTTGTGAATGCCACAAACCAACATGGGTCTTCAGAACCATGCGTACACGACCTCCATCTGAATAGAGAGGCTACAGGAATGATATCTTCGCATTCGCTTTCTTTGCAGTGGCAAACCAGTGTTTGTGATGCCACTCCATACAACCACCTGTAATACTGATGTAATCTCTAACCTCTATTGGATGAAAAGCATATCGCGCACTCACCACTCGACATTCAAGAACTCGCCCATCCCTTTGGGCCAGTACTGGTGGCACTTGAGCGTGCCGCTTTCCACCAGATTGGTTGTCATGACAATTGTGCTAACACTTTGCTGCCAGATCATGCACCAGAAATGGTTGAGTGTTGCTGGTAGTGGTGCCTGAACACCAGAGTAAATCACAAAATATAACAGCACAAAATAACAGTAAAATGTGGCATGCATTCAGATGATTGCAAACCTGAATACAAGGGGGGGGGGGCATTTACTCTTCATTCGGCCATACAATAAGCTCTCTATCTCTCTCTTTTCTCTCTCTCTCACTTTACTGTGTGGAAAGCTCTGCCATATCTAGGCATTGAGTACTCCTTTGGTAGTGGAGAACCCTATACTTCAATACCTTGGTGGACTGTTAGTCATAACTAGTTATTTTATAGGTACTTTTCACTTTTAACACAAAAGGAAATGTACAACATAAAGTCTGTGTATCTTTAACAGAGAAGTCTTGCCTCTAATGGCAGGGCCACCTGCCTCTAATGGCAGGGCCACCTGCCAATGAACACCTCCAGCAGGCCCACATCATGGATATTATGGACTACATTTCCACTGGGCAGTTTTGAAGGCAGTCGGGTGAAAGTACAATGCACCTGTCTGGTACATCATCTTGTGCAGCCAATTTGTCAACCCACCTGTGTACAAATGTAGTTGTTCTGTACGCTGGGACCCACGTCGATCTGCAAGACGCAACCAGACACGGATACAAGATCATTGCACACTGTCACGGGAAGTGCTCTGGAAGCACAGCCTTGGCCACATTGGAACATCACACGATAATCCACTCATTGCAGTTCATGTTTATACTGTACAGTCAGGGTCACCGAGCACGGATATTAATACGTACCGTAGACAGTAGCACAAACCACGGACAGGTTTAAAACATACACAAAGAGTATGATGGCTGATCATGGCTTCAGGCCGAAATTTTGATTGAGATATTGTAATTTGCAGCGAAGCGACCACTTGATTCGAGGATGGTGTGTGTGTAGGGTTTTTCATGTACGGAGAGTATAAGCAGGAGAAAACACTGCTCCTGTGAGTCATTGTGCTTCAAACGAGAGTTTGCGACTTACAGCGACATAGTTTGCATTGATATAGTCGTTGTCGTGTTCCATGAGGTGCACGCGTGTGTCGTCATCTGCACAGGTCCACATGTATCACGTGCATGTACGCACAGGTGTGTGCGCACATACACAAGCGCATATACACAAGCACACATACACACACACACATACACACAGACACACAGACACACATACACACATACACACATACACACAGAGACACAGAAACACAGTCACAACCCATACACCCGTAAAGACACAGACACTCACACACACACACACATACACACACACACACACATACACACACACACACATACACACACACACACATACACACAGACACACATACACACACACACACATACACACACACACATACACACAGACACACATACACACACACACACATACACACAGACACACATACACACATACACACATACACACACACAGAGACACAGAAACACAGTCACAACACAAACACCCGTAAAGACACAGACACTCACACACACACACACATACACACACACACTAGGGACACCCGAGCACATACACACCAGTACATGTGCACATGCACGGTCAGCAACAAAATTGGAAGTGATTCTGTCCTGCAGTTGGTCAATAGAGTTGGTCAATTAGAGAAAGTTCATGCAGACTAACCACCTCATACAGCACAAGCACTGCATACTTACAGGCGACAATGTTGCGATATCTGTTTCTCTGTTTGTTTCTGATGTTCTTTCCTGTATTACTGCTGAATGGTGATGGTCGATTGCGTAACTCCTGCACGTAGTAGAGAGGAGAAGACACGGAATATAAAGTGTATGATTATCTTAAAGTGCCACAAAATTGGACAGTTGAACAATAAGCCCACTGCACATTGCCAAAATAGTGAAGGTATGAGTAATGCATGCGAGCACGCTGGGATCAGCAGTGCACTGTTCAACACCCGCACGCAAGCATACCCAAGTGGTTGTGTGCGTTGTCACAGTGGTGGCACAAACTACGGCACTGCCCCATGAGTTTATCTACGGTTGAAACCAGTCTTCAGCTGAAGAGCAGACCAACACAAGCACTGTGCTAAATGCAAGCCATGGTCCAGAGATCATATAGCGATGGCGTAATTACACATCACATGGTGATGGTGTAGAGATCACAAAGATTAAAATGCGGACAGATTGGCGCAGTACATGGGCAGCCATCCTACCTCGAACTGTTGATTGGGTGTGCCAGCATTGAGTTTGCTCATGGCCTCTCTGCAGATCTCCTGCAGGGAGTCACCTGTATACAGCTGTGCACGGCCTTGTACACGAATGAGACCTGGCGGCAGGGTTTTGGCAACGTTGGTCCAGGATGATGGTCGATCCCTGTAAGGACAGGAACAAAACATCACAGAGAAAATTAATAGGGCCATGGCTTGCAGCTGCTTGCACGCTTAGTCTATCGGCCTTACACGGGTACACCATCACTTGTAATGCTTTGCATTGAGTGGCAAAGCTGCGGCGCAGCAATGTAGTAGTAGTCAAGAATTTCCGCTCCTTTCCACTCTTTACCACTCACTGCTTAGCAGGCATAAGCAGGTCCACCCGCTGACTTGCCACCATGACATCGTTCACATATTAAAACCTCTATTGAAACTGCGGGCTGCAGTTTTCAATGAATGCGCAATGTTGTCAACGTCACTACACATGAATGCAGACATAATACTATGCTGAATCTTCAGCCTCTAAGTACTGTTCTAGGTGATTCATTCTGAATCGTCCCCCTCTCCTATTCTGGGACGACCGGTATCACCATTTTCTAACAGTGAGCAAGTATTAATATGAGAAGAGAGTAATGGTCACTCACAGCATTGGAGAGCCCATGGGCTGTGTTGCAGGGAACGACTGCCGGTGTAGCATGGGAGACGATCTCGGCGACGAAGATCGCCTTGTGATCGGAGACAAGTTGAGCTGTGGAACATGAAGAGGATGACGTACGGTCTTTGGTGAGGGTGGTGATAGCGTCTGTTGAGAGTCTTGATGCTGGAAAACAACCAAGCATCGGTAGAAATAAGGTTGCCACAAGGTACAGAGAGAATGAATCGTAGTGTTTTCAAGTCCACAAATGGGGTAACTGTAATAGTATAATTATTGTGTAAAATAATGATATAGATAATGACCGGCAAGCACTTATTATACGTTATTGCACCACTTGAAATTTCACCACTTGACCATGTTATAATCGTTGGTAGGTATCATCCTCCCCATCATCCTCCCATCATCATCATCATCATCATCATCATCATCATCTGCTGCTGCGCCGGCATCCACGGCCTTCCTCAGGCGCCTTTGCCTCCTTACAGCTCAATCTTCGGGAGGTAGCTATTCGTCGTTGATGAGTTATTATCGTTGTCGGGTGTCTTTCGCGCTGCTACGTTCCGCTGTGTTGTGTGTCAGGGGTGCTCGGTCGGCCCGTCATCGTCCAGTTCACATGCTTCGTGAGTTGGCGATGGTGGAGGGTCGGGTTCCCCTGCAGTGATTGGTGCTGCGCCGAGCTAGTTTGGTGTGAAAGTGTAACTAATGTTATTATTCTTATATATACATCAAGTAGTACTAAATAATTGAGAGGCTTTGAATCGTTTTTATCAAAATCAAAATATTTGCCGGGTTGGAAGGTGGGATCAAAAAAAAAAAAAAAAAAAAAAAAAAATCATCATCATCATCATCATCATCATCATCATGTGACCAAGCCGCTTTTACGGGCAACAATATTATGAATATAAAACGCAAGGTATTGTAAGAGCAATTTTCTGAAAATAATGTTAAAACACGAAATAATTTATAGAAATGCATTATCACACCGTAGCCACTTTTATGGGCAAATTCCAATACAAGGCAATAGGAAAACGAGGATGAAGTTAACCTTTTAACCCAAAGAAAAGACAAAAGATGTCAACAATAGAACTACAAATATAAAAAACAAACATCAGGTCATAAAAACTACTTCAAAACATAACCAAAATTAATGACAGCAAAGCGTGGAGAATGAGATTGACTTACAAAACAAAAGTAGTCCTACTATGCTTACAAAACAGAATCTACCTACACCACTAAGGAAGAAACATTAAATGATTGCAGTCTCACAAACACCGGCCTCTATCTAACGACCCATCAAACAATAACTCCTGACATTCTTGACTGACTTTTTCTGGTAGGAGCTACGGCAGCCACGAAAACAGGTCATCATCATCATCATGTGACCAAGCCGCTTTTACGGGCAACAATATTATGAATATAAAACGCAAGGTATTGTAAGAGCAATTTTCTGAAAATAATGTTGAAACACGAAATATAAAAATGCATCATGATCATCATCATCATCATCATTTGAACAGCCTCTATCATCATCATCATCATCATCATGTGACCAAGCCGCTTTTACGGGCAACAATATTATGAATATAAACGCAAGGTGTTGTAAGAGCAATTTTCTGAAAATAATGTTAAAACACGAAATATTAAAATGCATTATCACACCGTAGCCACTTTTATGGGCAAATTCCAATACAAGGCAATAAGAAAACGAGGATGAAGTTAACCTTTTAACCCAAAGAAAAGACAAAAAGATGTCAACAATAGAACTACAAATATAAAAAACAAACATCAGGTCATAAAAACTACTTTAAAACATAACCAAATGACAGCAAAGCGTGGAGAATGAGATTGACTTACAAAACAAAAGTAGTCCTACTATGCTTACAAAACAGAATCTACCTACACCACTGAGGAAGAAACATTAAATGATTGCAGTCTCACAAACACCGGCCTCTATCTAACGACCCATCAAACAATAACTCCTGAAATTCTTGACTGACTTTTTCTGGTAGGAGCTACGGCAGCCACGAAAACAGGTCACTGCCCAACGTCATCATCATCATCATCATCATCATCATCATCATCATCATCATCATCATCATCATCATCATCAGTATCGCCTTTGTCTGCTATCAGCTAAGGCCATGTAAATCTGTGTTCCCAACTGGCGCGTGGACGTGGTACGCTTGCGGTTCATGCGTACCCGAAAGCGCGCTCAAGCTTTCACAAAAACAGCTGTCTGAGTCGTATTTAGCGCGTGCGACACCTTCGAGTACTAATTTTTTGACCCCGCTAGTCAAAGTGACTGGCATGTACGCTGGTACGCGCCTGATACGCGCTGAATTTCCAACATGTTGGAATTTCCATTTCGGCGCGTTTCCGTACGCATGGTGCCCCAAAAGCCAGCAAAAATACGCACAAACACGTGGTTTCACGCGTACACGCGCCAGTTGTGAGCACAGCTTAACTCTGAACAACTGAAATGCCTCTATCGCCATTGCCAACGCAATTTATACATTGCAATGTTACGTGATGTTAGTGGAATAATACCGATTGGAGTGCAGCAACTGTTTTTGTCAATGAAATCCACCTAGGCTCATGACGACCGTGCCAGTTTGTACAAAAACATGTCCATTTCGTTGAGGTGTACCAGAACGAGAGGTTGGACATAATATTGCACCGTCCGTAATGATGAAAGGTCCGTACATTAAACAAGCTTATCACCACTGTCACAATCCCATTGAAAGCGAGAAAGCAGGAAGCACGCATTAACGAAGGACAGAAAATGATTATTACGCTGGCCACATCTGTGCGCTGTTTATACCCCTGACGTAAACGTGTTAGCTGCTCCCGGCTAATGATGCCCCCTCACACCGGAACACAGGGGTTTTATATGATTGGATAATTTATAGAAGTATTCGAGAAGAGTGTAGACAAGGAGAACAGGACAACGACAACTCAAGACTAGACTAGACTACAACAGAACTGGAGCATGCGCTCTTCTATGTGAGTGCTCATTGCCAAGGGGAACGAGCGGGAAATACAAATAGTGAGTATTCAGGTCGTAGCATACATACACCTATTACACTGTGCCCCCCTAGCTAAAATTCACGTCCACGGGAATGAACGAAATACCTAGGAAACAAACAAAAGAAAACAAACCAAATAATAAACTCAGTCCAGGACATAGTCAGCTAGTCGAGCAGGTGCAGTGCGAACACGGCCAGAACGACGAGAAACAGGAGAAGAAGTACGGACCGGATCAGACGACGGCGGCTGTAGCGGCGGAAAATCATCATCGGACAGCGTAATCGGGTCAGGACGAGAAGCAGTAACGGCAGGCGGTTGACAGTCGGGAGGACGGGAAACGGCTTCAGGCGGACGAACAAACTTGCCACTGGCAGCATCATATCTGGTGAAACACTCAGACAGAGCAGGATCAGCATACGGAGCAAGAAGACTCTGAGGCTTGAAACAATCCGGCGACGGTTCAGCGGCAGAGGCACCAGGAGGACGAACAAAAACGGCCGGAGGAAGAATCTCGGCAGCCGGAGGAACATCAGCAGCAAGTGGCATTTCAGCAGCAGCTGACAGCGGAACATCACGGGCAAGAGGCGGCGGACTCGGCGGAGGAGACGGCACATCGGTCACCATGCGGGACATAGCATCGGCATTCAGATGTTGGCGACCTGGACGGTGGACGACTCGGAATTCATATTCGGATAAACAGTCAAGCCAACGTGCTTTCCGTCCGCGGGGTTCCTTCAGGTTCCGGAGTGCAGTCAACGCAGTATTGTCCGTCCTGGCAACAAATGGTCGTGCCAACAAGTAGTGCCTGAAATACTCCGCAAAATAGACCAGAGCAAGGGCCTCACGATCGCTAGCATCGTAGTTGCGCTCAGCTTTCGTCAGTACACGACTGCCGTACCCAATTGGTCGCTCAGTTCCATCCTGGATCTGGCTGAGGACTGCACCAATCGACACATTGCTCGCATCGGTGTCCAGAATGAATGCACCTGCTGAATCTTCAAACTGGGGGTACGCCATCACCGGCGCACTGGCAAGCGAACGCTTCAGAGCCTGGAACGCCGCTTCGCAAGCTTTCGACCACGCAAAGCGAGCATTCTTGCCTGTCAGAGCAGTCAGCGGAGCAGACCGCTGCGCAAATCCACGGATGAATCTACGGTAGTATCCCGCGAAACCAAGGAATGACCTGACCGCAGTGACAGACTTCGGCGTCTTCCACGCAAGTATCGCGGAAACCTTGTCCGGATCGGGGGAAATTCCGTCTGCCGACACGCGGTGCCCGAGGAACGCGACGTCCGACCGGAAAAAAGAACACTTTGCTAAGTTAAAACGCAGGCCTGCTGAACGCACACGCTCAAACACTCGCGACAAAATCAATACCTGGCCAGACAATGTTTCACTTGCATTTAAAACATCGTCAAAGAAGACACGACAAAATGGCTGAGCCGCAGCATTACACAGCCCACGAAGAACAGCTTCCATAACTCGCTGGAAGGTGGCAGGACCATTCCTGCACCCCATCGGCAGCACTGTAAACTCATACAGGCCCAATGGTGTTGTAAATGCGGTCTTCGCTAGGTCGTCAGGATCCATCGCAATCTGCCAATACCCAGACGCGAGATCGAGCGACGAAAACCACTTACAACCAGACAGCGAATCAAGCATGTCATCCACCCGTGGAATCGGATAGGCGTCCGGCTTTGTGACACCGTTTAACTTGCGATAGTCGACGCAAAGTCGTAAGGAACCGTTCTTCTTAGGAACCAACACGATCGGAGACGCCCACGGACTGATAGACTCTTGGATGATACCCTTCTCTAGTAACTCATCCAATAACGTCTGCAGAGCAACGCGACGGTGATACGGAATGCGCCGAGCTGCTTGTTTAATAGGAGTATGTGTGCTTGTATCAATTTTATGCGGAAATATGTCACAATAGCCATAGTCGTCTTCATGCAATATAAATAGGTCGTGATTATCAATGAGGAGTGTGGTGAGCATGCTTTTGGTTTCGGATGAGAGGTTTTGTTGTGATTTAACGTATTCATTAATGGTAGCCTTGCGCTGTTCTGTGAGTTCAGGTGTGTGATCAGTGGTGACGGATGAAACCGCGGCGTCATCTTCATCATCATCATCATCCATAATGAGAGGAGACAGTTCGGCAATATTGGTGTTTTTATGTATAATAATATTATGCTCAGCGTGATTCTCAATTGTCATGACAATGTGTGAGTGATCGGGACCCACTGTTACAAGTGCAGGTGTCACCGACAACGTAGGAAACTTATCCACAAACGACTCTAGTGGATCAGCAACACAATCCAGAGTTTCCGAACAAGCATCCACATAGACACATGGTACGAGCACAACATGGCCAGCAGGCACAGACAGCTCATCGTCAAGGGCAACACGAGAAGAATACGACGAAACAGGTACATCGTCGGAGCATGCATCAGAATGAGGAGTATGAGTATTACATGAGGGGGAAGTATTACGCGGAACAATACGATCATAGGGCGTACGTGACGGAGGACACCCAGAACCAGAAACATGCAACGGAACAGACACATCGCCAAACATCACAACACCACGAGCAATATCTAATACACCACCATGCTGCAACAAAAAATCGGACCCAAGAATCATGTCGCAGTGAATACCAGGAGACACAACAACCGTGTGCTGGAAAGCCAAGTTTCCAAGCGACATACACAGATCCATGGATCCAACGACAGGAAGTTGTGCGCCATTGACTGCACACAACCGCGGAGCAGACTCTAGAGGAGGTCGCTCTGTCAAATTAGGCAACAATTTAGAATGCACTAACGACACACTTGAACCAGAATCAACAAGAGCAACAACAGGAGACGAAGACGAAGACGAAAGACAAACATCAACGTGCACAATAATGGGTGAGATCGCACCACATACCTCCTCGAGGGGCTCCACTCGGACGACTGACGGCGGCCCCGTGTCACCAGTCCAACCTAGTTTTTTGCGTGCGGGCAAGATGCAATGAAGTGGCCCTCTTCACCACATCCATGGCACACTCCACGGACAGGCCTCGCAAAACTCTGGCCACGACCACGACTAGGCGCACCAGCACCAGCACCACGAGCAACAAAACGTACATGGTCTTGCTGGGGTCGGGTGGGGCGATACAGACTCACGCTCTCCATTTTCGCCTCCAAAGCAGAGAGACGCGAATCAAAACTCGACAAAAGCGAAGCCAACTGGTCTCGCTCAGATTCCGACTTCAGTGGACCGACTGCTGCGTAGGGGTCACGACCATGAGCAGTGCGACGGGGCTTCACTTCCGGAGCAGCAGCAAATACGGGCTGTGCATACTGGTAAGGTACGGTGCGGGCCTGCTCGCGAGCATAAATAGCACCTACCTCGATGGCCTTTTGGACCGCCGCATCCAAATCAGTGGGCCGAGGTGACGCCAACGCCAAGCGCAAATCCTTCGATGCTTGGCCATCAATAAAAAGTTGCAAAAGCATTGAATCAAGCAGTGCACCTTGTTGTCCTGGGTAGGCTCGACGAGCGAGCCGACGAAGTTCCGTGGCATACCCGTGCTGAGTTTCACTCGCCAGCTTCACTCGCTGGCGAAGACTGGCCTCGTGCATCAATGCTTGCTGGGGCGGCTCAAGACGGACATGCAGAGCCTCGACTGTGTCGGAAAAGTTCATGTCAGGCGTGTGAGTTAGAATTTCGGTGAACATCTCATAAGCTGTACCAACGAGGCGAGCAGGTAGTAGCCGTAGCTTTTGTTCGTCGTCGTACCCACTCAACTCGCATGTGTGGACGAAATGCCTCATGTACGTGGTGAAATCTTGGCCTGGCTGATTTCCGAATGTCTCAGGAAGCAAAACTGGCTTCGGCAGTGGACGTGCATGTGGTGTGTCTGTGTCCGACAAACGAAAACGATGGGACAACCCTTGTACCGGCGAACTCTCGCGCTCTTCAGCAATGCTCATGTCACAGCCAGCTTCAGCGAAGCTACGCTCTAGCTTTTCTTGTCTCTTGGATTTCGCTGAACGGCCCATTGTGAAAAAAAAAATTGTTTTTGTATTTTTGAATTTTCGAAAAAAAAATTATCTGCAAAAATTTCCCGTGGACTCGATCGACGCCTCGATCAACTATCGATCTAGATCTAATTCTAAATCTATTACGTAACCTATCGTGCGTAGCGGCAAACAACTAAATTTGGCAGAGACAATTCCAAATAGGCAACTACTCTACGGACACAGTGTAGCTAGACTCTACTACCCAGCTAGCAGATATCCTAACAAGACACTAGACAGCAGCCAGTATGCACAAAACACGGACACAGAAAATGTTCCGAAAATGTTTGGCCAGACAGGTTGGCGCCAATGCTTGACCTATGGACTGTAAACCATGGTAAACAATGCATGCAACAAGAAAACGACGAGCAGAAAGAAACACAATGCAGAAAGGAAAATAATGACGAAGAGAGTGGATGAGGATATGGTTTCACTTGCGTGGGCCTTCGTGGTTCTTCATAGTCGGCGATCTCCGAAGGCGTACATACTCCGCCAGCGATGTAGTGGTGGACGTTTTCCGCTGCCACCAGTGTTAGCTGCTCCCGGCTAATGATGCCCCCTCACACCGGAACACAGGGGTTTTATATGATTGGATAATTTATAGAAGTATTCGAGAAGAGTGTAGACAAGGAGAACAGGACAACGACAACTCAAGACTAGACTAGACTACAACAGAACTGGAGCATGCGCTCTTCTATGTGAGTGCTCATTGCCAAGGGGAACGAGCGGGAAATACAAATAGTGAGTATTCAGGTCGTAGCATACATACACCTATTACAAACGTAACCCTTACCAGTTTCTGTGCCCTGGCAGCGGCTGTTGAGAATGTGTTCTGAGTAAGCCGTTCGTGAGCCTTGCGCTTACTGGCTGGAGACACGGCTGGGCTGTGCAGTTCCTGCGCGATAGTGCGGAGTATAGGCTCCGAGGACTTCTGCCCGTTCGGATGCACTGCCGACTCGGCCTGTTGCTCGTGCGTTAGCGGCGTGGTCTTACGCTTCAGAGATGGGGACGATGCAGGTCCTGCACGTCTCCTTGCAAGCGATGGCGATGCTCCTCCCTGTGCTGCTGTCGGGGTGGTCTTAGAGGCGGATGTCGTACGCCGAACCACTGATGGCGATGATGACGGCACAAGGGCTGAGGATGACGCTAACGGAGACAGCAGCGCTGAAGAAAAAACGACCGCATACATCACATCGTACATGTGATTGGGAGCATCTTTCTCTAAATGTGTGGCAATATTTCTAGGTTTTAAAAGTCTAATTTCTCCACAGTATTGCTCAAAACTCTCTCTTTGTTTGTTTGTTTCTTTCTCCCTCCCTCCCTCCCTACCTCTCTCTCTCTCTCTCTCTCTCTCTCTCTCACTCTCTCTCACTCTCTCTCTCTCTCTCTCTCTCTCTCTCTCTCTCCCTCTCTCTCCCTCTCTCTCTCTCTCTCTCTCTCTCTCTCTCCCTCCCTCCCCCCCCCCCCACCAAATGGTCTCTCGGCTGTGAACAACTGACTTTACATTTCATCAAATGTTTTGAGCATGGCCCATCATCAGAGTGGAGGCAAGTACATGTACTTACCATCAGAGTTACTCCTACTGAGTGGTGGTGAACTGGGTGGTGTGCTACATGACTTGCAGTATTTGTTGACACGTCTCACCGTGGGCTTGCCACTGGTAAGGGCACGCAGCTTCTCTTCGGCAGTCATTGGCGTCAGGTCTATCATAACAGAGAGTTAAAACGGAAAAGTCATAAATTGCAATTGTGACATGACCGCGTAAGAAATTCCTTCCTTGACAACATGATTAAGGACATCATTGTTATGGGGGGATAGTTTGAGATCAATAGAAGTCAGTGCAGGACTGTCTCGATAGGGTTTTCAATCCTATTTCACATCGTGCACCAACCCATTACCTATGCAATGACACTACAAGACTTCGTACACACTGTGTCATCACGAGTGTACACTTGGAATGACTTGACCAGTGCTGGTACATGCAATGTCACTACAAGCATACACTGTGACATCACCAGTGTACATACACTGTGCAATGTATGTTACAAGTCAACACTGTGACATCACCAGTGTACACTGGTGATGTCACAGTGTATGTACACTGTGACGTCACCAGTGTGCACTTGACATGACCAGTGCTGTTACATTCAATGTCACTACAAGTATACACTGTGACATGACCAGTACTGGTACATGATTATGATGCTGAATAACATACCAACATGACTTGTATCATCATCATGATCATGATCATGGTGATGGTGATTGTGTTGGTGACGGCGTTGGGTGCTTGGGCTGGAGCGACCAAGGCGAGGAGACGGGAGCGAGTGACGATGCCGCTCTTCTGCATCAGGTTGAGTCCTGCCGCTGAGCACGTGACTTCCTGAGTATCTTCCCGGAGCATTGCTGTGCTTTGTTGCATCTATCCTTCGCAGGGGATCATCAATTCTTGTTGGACTGGTGACAGGGATGATGTTGGGAGATAAATCTTTTACCGACGGCCGTGACAGTGGATCATCTTCATCCGGTGGTAATGATTGAGGAAGTGACGGTTCCTCGGTCTCCGGAGTGGTTGGCGGCGATCCTTCAGGTAGTGGTGGTGCCGGACTAGAAGGAGTTGACCCAGCATCTGCTGGCTGTGGTGGAACAGTCAATGCCATACCTGCTGTTCCCGCAGCTAGTGCCGGTGAGAAAGTCAACTTCAACGAGGCCGGGTTCATCAGCTCCGACGGATCCACCAAGGGAGAGTGAATCTGCTCAGGTCTAATATCATACTCATCCCCACCTGTGCTCAGACGTTTCAACACCGCCCTGATGTTTGCACCCATTTCCGGGGTATCAGGCAGTGGCGGAGCATCCTCGTCGTCCAACAGGGGGTTGCTATCAAAATCAGAGAACTCGCTCTCGGACTCGGCCGCTGTTGTTTCCAGATCGTCTGAGCTGTCACGCTCCTCTTCTAGGGCACTGATCGTGCTTGTTGCGCTGGTGCCTGGATCTGGAGCTGCTGCAAGTTTTACAAAGTCTAATTGCTTCGCCGGTAAATCGGCTGTCTTGGCCGGTACACCATCTGGAACGGTATCATCTACGTGTTTTATGGACGGCATCGCACTTGACTCGTTTACTCTGAACCTGGAGGCATTAAACACACAACACACATGTAGAGTAATCGCCACTGCGCTTGGATGAATGCACTGTGGGAATGCAGTCACTAAATCAAGTGATATGTGAACCATGCAGCTCATAACCAACACCCAAAAGACAGTATCAGCTGTGCACGTGCCAACTCAGTGGTTCTCCCAAATGATAGAAACCTGCTTCACTGACTACCTCCTCAATAGCTCCATGAAACCACCCACCTGGCTATCTTGAATTGTATGCGCCCGCTGGCACGCCGGAGTAAGTGCACAACCCTGGCATGCCTCAGCCCTGCCAGTGGCTGGTCGTTGACCTAAAGTAGGACAAAACGCACAAAGACATCATCATTATGGTGTAGGATGGTCTAGTGATACACCTTACTCTAGCATCACATAGATCTTGTTGTGCTCTAAGATCACCCCCTGATAACTCAAAGCAGGACCTATTTATGTTCATTCAGTATAATTATTATTATTTTGTTGTTGCAACATTCAATGCCGGCTTCATTAATACTATTCATTGCTCTAGTAAAATTCTCGTGTCCACGTCGCCTATTCGTTTGACTGCAGTTAGGTTGAGGATGGCGTTGCTGCTGTGCTGTGTACCCACCTCCAACACACGGTCATTGACGCGGAGCTGACCATCGCTATGTGCTATAGTGCCTTCCACAACCGACCGGACATAGACGCCGTTCGGCACCTGTTTCCACACACGGACAGAGCACAGAAATAATACATACATGTACATCGATTTCACGGAAGAATGATGGCTAATTAAACGGATATCAACAGTTTGACGCTGGGTCTCACCAGCTGTGACACTCTACGTCAATTTAATAGTTTGTGTACACGAGTCAAATAAGAACTTTAACAGTCAAAGAGAGCAGCAAAGCTGCACATGCAATAGATGAGTCTTTTAATACTTAATAATCGGTCCGGATACACAATGTCGAGGCCAACCGAGGCATAAGAAGTGCTTTAAACTCACATCGTCTTTGTCTGCTCCACCACTTAGTCTCAGTCCCAGGGCTCCGGAGGGTGGCTTCATCAGATCGATGTGAAGAATCTGTTCACAAACAATGATCGATCGAGAGAGAGAGAGTGAGAGTGAGAGAGAGAGAGAGAGAGTGAAGAGCAGTACAGAAGTGGACGTCGTATTATTACAGACTAGGTCTTGATTCACCCATGGAACATTGGACTAGGGTGTTGGGAACAAGTGGTAGCAGCCGATCGAAACAGCTTTCCACAGCATGGTTTACACAGATTCAAAAACATCAATAGAATCGTTACAAGTACATCCAAGTTCAGAAAAGGGGCTATCCCTAGCAGTTCAATTATGCACCTACCACTGTAGTCTTCTCTGCACCTTCATCTTGTCCTGGCAATGGCACTACAGAAGAGCATACCAGTCAGAATAAGACAGTTTGCCTAAATGCAAACAAGCCGACGTGCAGCGGATGAGTATTGCCACAAGTAACAATGTGTAAGCTCGATCCTGATGATAACTTAGTGGTATATGCTCACGACCCTCCATACTATGAACTCCTAGTTTCAAGTAATCAATGGCATAACATCATATTCGAGTGAAGAGCAGTGGAAGTTGGTACGTGGATTACAACTGCGTGGTCGGACCTGACGAATTAGCCATTTCAATGAAGATACAAGAATTGCAGAACAACTTCTTGAGATATGATGCTATGTGACACATACATTGCTACTGGACTCCAAAGACTACACAATCGTGATAGATCTGAATTACTACGGTGCTCCAAGCCTTACCATACTGTATGGCAACCTCGGTAGCAAGGGACAAGGAGCTAGTTGACTGCTCCATTGACTTGGCCAGTGGACTCAGGCTGTCGGCTGTCATGGGCGACGACTGAGAGTTACGGTCCACCAGGTGTGCTGGTGGTACGGGTGACAAGCGTCGCAGGCGTTCAGGTGTAACGGCTTGCACGCCACCTGCACCAGCAGCAGAGGTGCTCGGCGGCTCGATGATCACTAGAGCCGGCGAGTCGGTGCGCCGTGCCGCTGGTGGTGTGGTCGGAATACTGTCTTGTGAGTTGTAGTCCACTGACGATGCCTAATAGAGCACGTACCAAAACATTATATGAAACGTGTTGAAAAGCCAGTAAGTATGTCCATGCCCATGTGTATTGATATGTCAGCTACCTGGTCACCATGTATACAGATATAGACTTCATTTCAATCATGTGTTTGTTAAAGTATGCGGCTCCATCTTCATGCTGAGCTAGTATTTAGTAAGGCCCTCTTCAGACTAGGTACAAAACAGCCTATAAGTCACATTTACATACTTGGTCCGTTTCATCGCAATTGTCGCTTATCTTCCACACACCTTTTGACAGGTAAAACCCAGTCCGATCTCGATATCTAACTCACATTCGGTTGGGAGGTTGTGATGGAAAGATCAAAGGAGACCAGAAAGAAAAATCATCGCGACTGGCGCTAGTGGCATCGCGATTCGTACGATTTTGATGGGAAAGTGGGGAACTTTTCGCTGCAGTGAATGCACTGCACTGCAGTCTGCAGTGAATGCACACATTCACTGCAGCGAAAAGCCAAGCGCAGCTCAAAGACCGGAACTGTAGCAGGGGAAATCGACATCCTGACCTGGAGAGCGTGACAGTCACGGCCAGGCCAGCCAGCTCAGTCGCCACGTTTGAACTGCAACGACCTGGCATTCTTTGCAAGCCTGCAAACTGATGGGAGATGGTGGCAAAGAAGACATTGTCCGACCTGGCAGTGGCAGTACAAGAGTCGTGGTCAGCGTATCTAGCAGAGCGTATGACAGCTGTCTGGAGAGGGATGTGTGCCTGATTCAAAAACATTGTTGAAGCACACAGTACTGTAGTGACACACGGGCCACGCTGCCCACGTTCCTCCAAGTGCCAAAGTGACAGCCACGACTGTTCCTTTCCCATCGCTGCCATACGCCAAGCGGAGAAAGCAAGAGATACTCTACGCCAGCAGCTATACAGACCAGCGAATGCCAGCTCTAGACTCTAGTGACATCAGCTCAAGTGATACAGAGCCAGAGTCGGATAAACTAGAGCGTGAGTGCAAGAACGCGCTCCGTCGCTGTTTTCTTTAGTTCATTTTTTGTAACCTTGCTTCCTTTCTTCGACTTGCTTCACCAGATTCCATCGCTGAATTTTTTTTCTTGTGGCGGACAGGAATCCTGTATCATGCTTCTTCACTATGCGTATTGGACATTTTACAGAGCGGCAAAAAAACCTCCTGTTCTTAGTTGCGATAGATAAGCGACAATTGCGATGAAACGGACCAAGTAGAAGTTTCCAAGACAACAACAAGAATCTGGCGGGAAGCCTAAAAAGCTGCCCGATCCTTTCAGGCAGGGTGCGAACCCTTGTAGAAGGCAACTTTCCTGCATTTATCGTACTTTCTCACCAGGTAGTTGTACAAACGTACAGACTTTGAACCCGGCTACGACTGCCGGCTGCTTTCACACATCCCAGGTCCATTGCGCAATAGCGTAGGGTCAAAGGTTGCCTGTATATTGCATGTAAAATGTGTAGTCTGAATGCAGGCTTGGAAAAATGTTGCCTTTTAGGTTTTATGTGATTTTGTACTGGATGTTCTATGTACGTAGTCTGATGAGGGCCTTAGTCCATAAACAAAACCAAGAACAGTACCTTCCTTAAATGGAACTTACAGGAGACGTGAAAACACAAATTCATGCTCCGCTGAATACATGTACATTGACACAGTGCTGTCCCAATGCTATCCCGAAGGTTTTATTCTATTTCAGAACAACTTGAGAGCGCTATGACTTGGCTCAAATCATAGAGGAGAAGTACATGTCATAGGCTTTTTATCACCTCTCTACTATAACCTCTCCACTGTTCTTGTTCCCTTGCTTTCGTCTGTATTTCACCTGACGAGAATGCTTGAAAGTATACTCGTGAAAACTTTCAAGATGTTGTTCAACAGACTGAAGTGTGTCCTTTCTTCTTAGTGTTATTGCATTCTTGTCTCCGAGGAAACTGTTCACATGTATCAGATCCAGTAATTTCACCTCAGAGCAAAATCATGCCACTGTCAGGGAATCCAGGCTTTTTCGAAGCACCGTGTGTATGTGTGTGTGTGGGGCAAATATGGGATGTTAAGGTAATCTTACCTTCGGTCGTACGACGGTCATGGTGATTGGGTTGGACACTTTCTTCAACACCCCAGTCACATCCGCCTTCGTCATATCAATCAGTGACACACCATTGACCTGGACAGATGACAGACGCCAGTGAAGTGCACCAACGAATCACAACAGGCTCCAGACTGCAGCCAGGTATCACTATTTCCAGCCCGCTTCGAACAAGTCTGAAAATGCTACCTCGGCTCAAGTCAAGCAAATTAAAATGCTTATACTTTCTAGCATCTTTGCAGTGGATAACCTGCATATAATCTAAACCGTTGAAAGACGGGACGGTGCTAGAATGTGTACCTCCATGTTCCCGAAGATAACAGTCTAAAAGGGAAGTCAGTAAGGATTGCAAGCATAACTTCCAGACACAGTGTCAATTGACCATGCATGTTTGTCCAAAATTGATAGGAGTTTGAAGCGGATAACGAAGCCGCATACATTCACTAGGATATGCATGTACATATACCAGTGCTGAAGAAAGGTTTTTGACTAAACAGTTGTTCAAAGTCAGACCTCACCTCAACCAGGAAGTCTTTAGGTTTCAGCTGCCCATTGTCAAGTATAGGACCTTCCACGATGCGCCGAATGAAACAACCTGACAACCATGACCGAAGACATATGCGGATCAATATGAGTGCAACCGTACAAACACAAGCAGCTCCTAGCCGAAGAGGGACGTTTCAGAGCAAACTATACCAAAAATACGGCAAAAATAGGATTGAGCAAAATGGATTCTGGAGAATTGCATCAGCGAGAAAACTTCTTTATTGTACAGCCCACATAACAACAAGGACAATCAAGGCTTCTTTGTTGCTACTTCAAGTTTCATGCTCTCGCAATCATCAGGTAACACCATAACTTTTTTTCATAGGCTTTTGCATCTGGTCGTCTCTTTGCTTGATCTGAATCAGTCATTCAGGTTGGCCAGCACTGCAAATGGCACAGCGCAACCGGCATTCCTGACCTAATTTGGTCTCTGTGAACACATCTCATGCAGTACACAGGCTGTAGCAGGGAATACTGTCCGCATGTAGCCAAGGATGACTTACAGTTTCCATGCTCCTGCTGCACCAAGAATCCAAGTCCCTTTTCGCCCTTCATCACGGTCACTGCTATCACCTGTATTAACACATACACACACACACGAGCAAACAAACACAAAGAAAGGACAAGAAGAAGTCGACGACGAACACTCCGTGAAATCAGCCCACGGATACAGTTTCAGCATGCTTTGAACACAAGGAGCAAGGATTGATTAGAAAATAGACATATCCTGAGACACAGTTACTCACTTCTCCAGGTGGCCACTTGGCCCTAGCCACATACGAGTCATTCAGTGACGGTCCCGCTTCATCGTCCTCAGTGTCCGAAACAAAGTCAGAGAACTCCGGTCTCTCTGTGTCCGGTAGCGGAGGTGGTTCAGAGCTGGGCACAGCTGGTGCGGGCTCAACATCCTTAACAGGACTGGGAGTGCCCTCGCGAGAGAGTCGCATTTCCTGTTGGCTGTGTTGAACAGCAGCTTGCTCCGGGACAGTATCCTCTGCTAGCGCTGGAAGGTGGGGAGTGGTACGTTGCTCTGTTTGTGCAGTGCCTGGGGCAATACGCTTGATGAGTAGCTTCACTGTTGAAGGTACGCTGCGCAGAATGCCTGTGGCTTCGGCCTGAGATATACCTTCCAGAGATCTGCCATTGGCCTATCGCGATGCAAACCAGCAAAAAAACAAGACGTTTCGTTTGGTTGCAGACTTTCAAAAGCGTATCTCAATAACATTCGTGTAGCATACCTTACACAGTGTATACAATGTTGTGAAATGGTACCGGCTGTACGCTACCCCTGTGAGCTGGAGATGTTCAACAGTGTGCCGCTAACTCCACATACTCAGTAGTTCAACAACTAAAGTGCCCTACACTTCCTGGCAGTATTGATATAGTGTGCAGTGCCCAATAGCACCACTTCCTTGGCACCATCCCACATCGACGTACCTGGACAATGATGTCATTCTCTTGGATCTTGCCCGTGGCAGCTGCAGCCTGGTTTGGACTAACTGTGCGGATTACAACTGGGGCTAAGCCTGAAAAGAAGGAACAAGGAAGATAGACAACTATTGGTTAACATACCAATGCTACATAATTATGTATATATTCGACCCCTGTGGGTTCACTGGATGAACTAAAAAGTAACACATTTCTTCAGCAATGAACATATACAGGTGGTCACATTGAAGCAAGGACACTGTCTCAGCACATGTCAAAGCAAGGAAGGTAAGGACCGGAGGCTGTAATACCGGGCCCTTCAAAATCCACCAAGATTTTGGCACAGGATTATGAGTGTAATATATTACATTGGATGTTGAGATTGAATGGTACAAATATACTCAAGTACCACATGCTTTCCTACTAGTCGTACTGGCTCTCTCAGAGTGGTGAATTACTCTCACCGGAGGGATGATTTGCATCCTTGAAGATGATCAAACCGAGGCGCTTGTCTCCTTTCTCGACAACAACCTCAAACACGTCTTCCCTGCGGTCTGAAGGCACGTAATCTGTGACGCAGTATAGCAAATCAGCATCAGAATCAGACATGTAGCAGACCATGTTGTCTGAACTGCCACGAGTCAAAGAAATTCCATCCCGGCAGCTCGCCGCCATATCGTAGAGGTAGATGGGAGTAGCCACGTGGCGGGCTATCAACCACACCATACTATTCATGAATAGAATGAGGCTATGGGTATCTGTCATGCACATCCTTGCCAGCTGCTCAAAACCGCAGCTGATGCCAGCACAAACAGGACCGGAGTACCGGGATATCAGGTGGTTCGGCCAAATCGGATACTTGACGGGAAATGAACATTATTAGACACCCTTAGCAAAACACGTTATGTTGTAACGGTATTATCGTAAAGGGGAAATACCGTGATTTGGGTTCGACCTTTAGCAAGATGCACGCTATATTTAGTACGCTGTTGCCACGAGAATAGCTTTGATTTCGCGCGGTACAACCATTTTTGTCACCATGTACGCGATACAAGGTCAAATGCGTACGGACTATGCAATATTTGGCCACAACACGTACCGTTGGTCACAACGATAAATCAGCCCCCATAACGTTTTTACGCTGCAGCTTCGACGCTATTTGGGTGATCTAGGTGCGAGTACCGTAAAAAATAGCGTTACCGTAGTTTGCTAAGGGTGTCTAATCACGCAAAGTCCCTGTTTTGCACGGATTAGGTGGGATTAACTTTTTTCTGCAAAATACGAAGCAATCGCTCCAGCCAAGGCCGGATGGCCGGACCGGGCGGCGACGGCCCTGACAAAGTTGGTTTTCATCACAGTGTTGACATTATCGTCAGGTACGACAGTGTGCAGACGTCTAGGCCTATAGATACCAGTATCTAATGCACCATTGGATCTTATACATTCAAAGATAACCACTCCTCAAAACTGCACCTGTCTGCTCGGATTGGGGTTTGCCATCGGGCTCATGAAGATCCGTGTACGATATCAGTGGTGTGGTTGGGCTCTCCAGATAGCCACTGAGCTCGGGTCGCTGCAACACCAGGCGGACCTGCATGGAAGAGCATGTAGGATTTAAGTGAGTGCTTCATGGTGATTATTATACAGTGGGACTCTGCGTACTCCCTCCCCCCCCCCCCTCCCCCCCTCCCCGCCCTGGTACTTCTTATCCAAGCTGAAGTTCTGGAGTATTACCAATGCACACAACGCATACAGGATTAGGGAAAGAGCCTGCGTATACGGAGGAGTATGCCTGCATTGAACCACAGTTCATACTAAGCCATTGAGTATCCTATCTGAGTATGTGCTCCATTAGTTCCATCGTACGCAGGTGTAGACAATTTTTTTCTGGTAGCTAATAAAACAATCATGCAGAAGACAATACTATTTCGAAGTGCAGTCGACCATGTGGATAACAACACTCTACAGGTATGAGGAATGTGTTGTTATTGACGAGTTGTCGCTATTTGTGAGGTAGGAATTATGCGGCCGAAAGGTAACCAGGTCTAAAGAGAGTGTTGCTATTCGCGAGTTGTTATGAGTATACCTGAGGGTTTTATTCATGAGATTGATTGTACCTCATGGAAGGGGATCAGCCAAACTTTAGATTGTGTATGCCTCGGGGAGGGGGAGGAATGCAGCCCGTCACTCCGTGTCTGGTAAGATTTACTCACTCACCTCACCAGAGGTACCGCGAAGTACTCTCACAGCCTCTGCAAGCGTGCACCCTTCCAACGAGTGATTGTCGACCTGGGATGAGGATGCGGCAGATACATGAAAGACGGCGAGAGAATTCAAATTACCTCATTCCCATTGTTCCGCCTCTAGTTTGTCAAATTGCGGTGAACTCTTCATCATGTAGTTTGGATGACGGTTGATTATCAGTAGCAGACATTATCATTAGCAATACAATAGCTGAAGGTGAATGGAAGCCAGGAAGCCCATGGAAAATGGAAACCAATGGCAAATGGAAACCAATAGCAAATTGAGGCACAGGCAACACACTGGTGCTTGCATGCAAAATCTATATTTCACGGATTGCATGATTCTTATTCAAATAGAATTTTCCGTATCAGTGAGAACGCAATCGCTATCAAGGATTAAGGCACACATGCAGCTCCCCAAAATGTGTGATTGCAATTTAAAACGCATTACGTATTTCCGGAGTATAAGCCGCACCCAGATTTTTTTATCACGAAATACAGAAATCCACCCCATTTATCACCGTGAATTTGACCATCGTAGTATAAGGCACACTGACTTTTTTGCGTGAATTACTGGTGTTGCAGAGATAGACAGACAGGCTTATACTCCGGAAAACTTAGTACACTTTTGAGAATGCTGTGCTTAGTGATAGTCTTACTGAAAGTAGATAATCTCCAGTTGACAGCATGCCAGTCATTGCTACAGTCTCGCCAGGAAGTATGGCTCGGACAGTGATGGGAGCTGGAGAGGTGGGCACATGAAAAGGACAAACCATCACTCACAACACAACCAGGCAGAACTCATAGAGAGCCCGGCGGCACAGCAAGGATTTGCACATTTTGCTAGATGCAAAGTAGATAGCAACAGTAAGAGCATACGTATCTGTACCTCCGTTGACAGTACTGTCCTTGGCAATAGTGAATCCAAGACTTTGACCACTCTTGATCACTACCAGTTCATACTTCTTGCCGGGTTCTGCATAAAACAACAACAAAGTACTGAAGTAGTCAGCAGAGCAGAGCATAGTATCCATCCGTTGCTTGCATGACATGGTTGCATGACATGGTTGCATGACATGGTAGCATGACACTTTGCCAGCTTGGTCAAATAGGCATTATAGTTGGCACATTTCAGTAGGCACTGGACTTCACGGAATCACATCTGGAATGCTTTTAACCATAGATGTTGAGCTCTCTTTTAAAATATCTATAGCTCTTGTCGCCATAACTGGCAGTTCCGATGTATTTCAGCTTGCAGTTGCCCTGTTGAGGCAGGCTGCATTGGCTGGAACAGTAAGCCGTCTACAGCCTCATTAAGTGCAAGCTAGATGTTGATTGATTGACTGGGTTCTATTTTAGGATTCATGACAGGCTACGTGTATGTCCATGCATGCTGCTGCTACCCGCTTAAAACACTGGGAGAAGATACATTCCACTGCTGGTACTTTTGAAGTACTCTGAACATTCCATTACTAATACCCAGAGACACACCGGGAGAATCCTGGACGGCTTACAAAAGATGTTTGGTATACAATCTCATCTCTTATCATCGGAGCGAGGTCACTGGTCTGGTGAGACAGCATGTGTGTGCCTGTTCATTTGATGAAGTAAACTAGAGTGCTATAGCATATGATTCATCTTTCACTGTGAGCTACACTCCTAACAGTATCAGGTGCATAAACGCAATAATCAGGGGTGTCGGAAGGTATTTTAGTGTGGTACGGTCAGCCATCAGGCTCAAGTACGATTTACTCATGGGGACTGGTGGCTGAGCCAACAATTTGGAAGATTTAGAGCCCAGGTTAGTGCACTTTATTGATTCACGGGGTAACTGGGGCAAAGAGTGGTACGGTCAATACCGTAGTGACCGTGCCGTGTCCAACGCCCCTGCACATATACTGAAGTATTCGGTAGCTGAGTTAGTATTGGCTGGTGGGTTCACACGACATGCATGCATTTGGTAGCACCTAGCATTGGATGGTGGGTGCATACTTGGTCCGCCCAGTTAAAATTGGCACTTATCTTCACACTTGTCTCAGGAAAGAAATACGAATATTCGAAGCAAGCCACGATCACAAAGCACTATATACATGATTATTTACATGTCAGTAAGCAACTCAGTCGAAATTCAAGCAAGTTACACATCCTCCTCGCCACTATCGTCGCTGGAGGAAGAGCTCAAAACGTACGATCCGGACAGCTGCTGCACGGGTCGTTTCATAGCTTGTTCCACTTCTCCTCGTCTCGAATCGCGCCCAAAGGCAGTGCGTGCCTGTCACCTTCCAATCAGAAGCTGAGTTAGACTGCCCGCATGTTGACTGTAAGTGTTATCCCCGTTCGTCGCAATAATGCGTCTTTGTTTGAGACAAAAAGGCAACGCCATATCAGTATCCTTTTTTCAAATCGCCTCTTGCGCTTGTCATACTTGCTGATCAGCACCCGTACCCACGCGAGCCGCTGGTGCTTGAAGATCTACATGCAGCGCAGTGATAGCTTCCGCTTGATGTAGCACCTCTGCGTACTGCACCTACAACGCGGTGCACCAGGCTTTTCGGCTAGTTTCCTGAAAGTCCTTTGCACGAGTGTTTCTCTCAGGACTTGGTGTTTTCTTTGATTAGCTCTTTTGCCCTGTCCTCTCTGAGCTTCAAAGTGTGTCCGCCGGATTGGTCTCACTTACTGGAGATATCGACATGAGCTGTAGTTTCTTCGTCAGCGATTTGCTGGTGATAGCCCTTCACTAGGCGCTGTACTGTGCAAGCACTGAAATTCAAGCTCGCGAAGCGCTTTTTCAGCTTTTCTATACCTCCCCGGGGTAAACAATCCTTGCCATCAGACAGCTGGAAGTAGACAGACACTGTATTCTCCATCGCTCTGAAATGCGAACATTCTGGCCTATTTTACGGACTCGAGCGGAGGTTGCAGTGTTTTCTTGCGCTGACGGAAGTGTTCGTCGGCGGCAGCTCCGTAAAAAAGACTCAAACGAACCGATCGCAACTTCTATGATGGCTTGTGCTGCCATGTCGTCGAATGCAATGGTCAATGGTTATGTTCGGATGGTGAATCGGTGGTTCCATGCCGTGTGGCACAGGCAGAACACCAAAAAACCAAGTGAGAAGATAAGCGCCAATTTTAACTTGGCGGACCAAGTACATGTACACGTATTTTGTAGCAGTTAACATTGTGTGGTGCACTGGCAAACCGCATACGAATAACCGTACCTGGTAGAACAACACTGGATCGCTGAGAGGCAGGCAACACCGCCCTCTCCACCAGAATGTACACGTCATTGGGCGCATTCTTCAGCATTTCAAACGCCTACAGATAGAACACCAACATATACACATACACAGCAAGAAATGATGAGGTGACGATAGCACTGTCTCTTGACATCTTTGCAGGAGACATCGCACATCTCTCTTATCTGGACCTCATAGTTACAGGCAAATCGGTCTACCGTGTACCCGATGGGGCGAGTTCTGGTGGAAATATTACAACTATTTTGCCAATATTTGTGGAAATATTACAACTATTTTGCCAATATTTGTGGAAATATTACAACTATTTTGCCAATATTTGTGGAAATAATGATGTAGTATGCCAGATCTCTGGCGCTTCCCCCATCAAAACGTACGTGATTCAGAGTTACAGGGATTTCCAAGTTATGGGCAGCGCTCGGTCTCGGACGGCCCGGATAATAAGAGTAGGAAGTAGTAGTATATTCTTATTTTACTAGGGTAATCCAATTGAGATAAGAATGTATCACATATGTTAGGTACCTCCTCCCGTACAACCTTTTCCAAGCTGGCCTGGATGCACCCCATACTACGTCGTACTCACCTTTTGTCTCCTTTTGTCACCTTTTGTTCCGTTGGCCTGGGTAGCTACTTGCGCGCCTATATTTGCCATAGCTACCCAGGCCCTTTATCTTGCCGTTCTCACTTGATCTCTCTCTCTCTCTCTTGTCTCTCTTCCACAATGTAGTCGTTTCGTTCATCTTGGTCTCTGTCTCTTCGTTTCCCTAATAAATGTTGTTCGACCTAATCTGTTCCCGTTGTCCGTAATGTCTGGAGAATATGCCGTCGTTCTTTTCGTACTCAACATTGGCGCCCAACGTAGGGCTCGAACCCACGACCCTGAGATTAAGAGTCTCATGCTCTACCGGCTGAGTCCTTTTCATACTCAATACATACAATAACATAGTAGCTCAGTTCTACAGTTTTAAGCTGGTAGCTGCACTAACCAGGCATCATTGCCTACACAACAGTTGGCTACTAGTAGTATGAGCAAAAGGATCAAATGTCATGCCCCTGAAGGAGAGAATGGCACGCATTCCAATGCTGGCTACAAGTACTGCTTTCTGATAGTCCGTGCCCAGATTGCTCCTACTCAGGCAGTCATTTGGCTGTGAACTTCAGGGGAGGACCGAAAGAAGAAGAACAACAGCTTGCACTGACCTCTTTGTGTGTGATGTTGACTGTGCTCTTCTTGTTGACAAGAAGAATCCGATCACCTGCCAAGAAAGACACATCCAATGGCAACATCATCAGTAGAAACACTTCACTATCTTTCAAACACTTGGAACAGTTCATGCATCACGCCTCTATTCCGCTTACCAAGGTAACTCGCACACAACAAGATGATAGGGCATTCCCAGACAGGTACATAGTATACTCATACCAATTTGAAGGCGGCCATCCTTGCCAGTCGGCCCGTTCGGATTGATGCTTCGAATGTAAACACCTCCGCCCTGAGTTGGTGTGTCAATTCCACCCTGAGCATGAGGATGACAAAGGAGAGCGCAAGTCTAGGCATGTAGTCAGACGTTCCATTGCCTATACCAGGACCGCCGGAAGCAGTTTTTGATTGGTCCGGTAGTATCATGACCGTTCATACTTTGTGTATGGTATGGCGGGTATACCTGCCCTCCACAGTAGGACACAATCATGTGTTGGTGGCTGAAAATTTTATCTGGTAATAACCTGACCAACCAGACCGGTCCTGGCGGGCCTGTATACTATAGACTTAAGACTATGGAATATGGACTAGGTACCCTGGACTATGGACTATGGACAGAGGACTATAGGTATTCATGACCCGTGGTGAAAGACTGTACATTTAGGACCATGGGAGTACTCTCCGTGATGTGGTGGTACAGCGTGAAAGTAAGCAACCTTCTCTTCACAAGAAACCCAGTAAAGAACAATGTAGCTAAGGATAGTGTCATGCAGCAGGGGACAGTGGGCTATGTTGAGTGAAGAATTTGTCCATCGAGCATCCCTGCTTCCTGAGGGATATCTTTTATTCTTTTCTTTTCAAGATTAGCTGGATACAGGTATGCTGGAGAACATAACATGGCAGGCCGCACTATCAGTGCTGTATAGTGTGAAACGCCATGAGTGAAGGATGTCTTCATCAATTTTAGATCATGCTCTTCCTCTCTGTCACAAACTTTCTCTCTTACCGACACACGCATACACACACTCTCCCTGCTTCCTGAGGGATATCTTATATTCTTTTCTTTTCAAGATTAGCTGGATACAGGTATGCTGGAGAACATAACATGGCAGGCCGCACTATCAGTGCTGTATAGTGTGAAACGCCATGAGTGAAGGATGTCTTCATCAATTTTAGATCATGCTCTTCCTCTCTGTCACAAACTTTCTCTCTTACCGACACACGCATACACACACTCTCCATCCCTCTCCCCCCCCCCCCCCCCCTCTCTCTCTCTCTCTCACACACACACACACCTTTTGACGCCCATCGCCGGAGGCGATGATAGCAATGCTACGGCAGAAGCCATAGCAACTTGTGCTGGGATTGCACCACTCAACAGCTTGCAAGGCTGAAGAATTCACCGTCACTATTCAGCCTGGTCTACACCACAGCTATTTGAAGTGACTTTTCTGGCCAGTGAATCCCTATTTTTGGTCTTTTCATTTTTTTCCCGCACACACATCACACCACATACTCTGGCATGCACTGGCTGTTGGTAACCACCCAGGAGAATGAAAGAAAAGTCAAGAGAAGTCTGAGAAAGAGAAGAAAGACGTGTGTGACCATAATCGTCGGGAATCGAACCCGCAACCCTTCGATTGGAAATCGCTGCACATACCACTGCACCACATGGGACACACACACACACACACACACACACACACACACACACACACACACACACACACACACACACACACACACATACACACTGTACTTGTTGCTCACTGCCAAAACTGGTCACGTGAGTCCCCCCGGGAGAGGGGAGAGAGACTCAAAAGGAATCTCGGAAAGATGACTCAATTGCATGGTTATTGAACCGCCCAACGGCCGACACCCCTGAAATCCCCAAAACACTGGGTGGACTTGAAAATGATCCCACTTATGGGCTCACCACACCTCAGTAAGTGGGTGAGGACAAGGTGCAGAAAAAGGATTGATGGTATCAGGGTATCCGTCCCGGGATCCAACTGCAGTTACCCCTGCCCCCAGTGAAGGTAATACTTGCTACTAGTGTGAGTGGCTAAATCAGAGTGGATCTGATAAAAGCTTCACTAACCGTTAGCACCATTGATTACGCAAGAGTTAATCTAGCCAGAAGCAGTCCATGGTTAACAAGTATGTATACTTCAAATAGAAAGTATATGAACCCTGGAACCAACAAAGGTGGCAGGTACAACATTACACCTTCAAGCAGCCGAGCCTGTTGGCAACAGACCCAACACAATCAAGCATAAGTGTACCTACCAACCGAACTAGCTGGCACATACACACACACACACTCACTCAAACATTGTCAGTAGCTGGAGTAGTCTACTTACAGTAATGGCTATACCCAGAGTACCGCCATCCTTGGTCAAGTGCACTGTGAATTGCACAAGGTCCTGATACAAGCAGAAGGGAGACACACGTGCTGAGTTTAAACAACTGTGGTATATGTACACCGTTGACTCGCCCAGAATTGACTACTTCAAAGTATCCTGGCGTAACTGCAATTGTGGAGAAATTTTAGAACTTGGTTGATACCGGCGTTTCGCACAGAAATAGTTAGACTTTATGATACCAACAGTACCAGTGGAACAGTATCTGCAAAACTGTAATCTAGTTCCAAGGAATAGTGGACTATGTAGTATGATGTACGCTGGTGAGAAGAATAACGAAACAAGTGAGCCATCTCTCCAATCAACCTCATTAGTAGTGGGGCATGCCATTTCCAGAATTCTTGGGGTCTAACTAGGGGAGGGGGGGGGGGGCATAGATGGCTCTTGTGTCTCATGATAAGCAAATGGAAGTAACACGTCGTGATACTTACTCCATGGCCATAGTCGGCAATTCCGGAAAGCAATGAGGTGACTGATTTGTTGCCTTCCATGGGACCAGGGGTGCTGGCATCGGTGTTCACTTGCACAACCTGTAAACGAGATTAACATACATCACAGCACAAATCGGGTTGGACCGACATGGTGGAGATCAACGGAGTCCCACACAGGGTGGAGATTGAAAGAGTAGGACCAACACGGTGGGACCAATGTGGTAGAAATCAACATGGTGAAGAACCATACAGGGTAGCTGCAATCAGTGAAACACCAACACGAGTTGTTCGCCACCCAACCCACCCAACCCAGCCAACCCAGCCAACCCAGCCAACCCAGCCAACCCAGCCAACCCAGCCAACCCAGCCAACCCAGCCAACCCAGCCAACCCAGCCAACCCAGCCAACCCAGCCAACCCAGCCAACCCAGCCAACCCAGCCAACCCAGCCAACCCAGCCAACCCAGCCAACCCAGCCAACCCAGCCAACCCAGCCAACCCAGCCAACCCAGCCAACCCAGCCAACCCAGCCAACCCAGCCAACCCAGCCAACCCAGCCAACCCAGCCAACCCAGCCAACCCAGCCAACCCAGCCAACCCAGCCAACCCAGCCAACCCAGCCAACCCAGCCAACCCAGCCAACCCAGCCAACCCAGCCAACCCAGCCAACCCAGCCAACCCAGCCAACCCAGCCAACCCAGCCAACCCAGCCAACCCAGCCAACCCAGCCAACCCAGCCAACCCAGCCAACCCAGCCAACCCAGCCAACCCAGCCAACCCAGCCAACCCAGCCAACCCAGCCAACCCAGCCAACCCAGCCAACCCAGCCAACCCAGCCAACCCAGCCAACCCAGCCAACCCAGCCAACCCAGCCAACCCAGCCAACCCAGCCAACCCAGCCAACCCAGCCAACCCAGCCAACCCAGCCAACCCAGCCAACCCAGCCAACCCAGCCAACCCAGCCAACCCAGCCAACCCAGCCAACCCAGCCAACCCAGCCAACCCAGCCAACCCAGCCAACCCAGCCAACCCAGCCAACCCAGCCAACCCAGCCAACCCAGCCAACCCAGCCAACCCAGCCAACCCAGCCAACCCAGCCAACCCAGCCAACCCAGCCAACCCAGCCAACCCAGCCAACCCAGCCAACCCAGCCAACCCAGCCAACCCAGCCAACCCAGCCAACCCAGCCAACCCAGCCAACCCAGCCAACCCAGCCAACCCAGCCAACCCAGCCAACCCAGCCAACCCAGCCAACCCAGCCAACCCAGCCAACCCAGCCAACCCAGCCAACCCAGCCAACCCAGCCAACCCAGCCAACCCAGCCAACCCAGCCAACCCAGCCAACCCAGCCAACCCAGCCAACCCAGCCAACCCAGCCAACCCAGCCAACCCAGCCAACCCAGCCAACCCAGCCAACCCAGCCAACCCAGCCAACCCAGCCAACCCAGCCAACCCAGCCAACCCAGCCAACCCAGCCAACCCAGCCAACCCAGCCAACCCAGCCAACCCAGCCAACCCAGCCAACCCAGCCAACCCAGCCAACCCAGCCAACCCAGCCAACCCAGCCAACCCAGCCAACCCAGCCAACCCAGCCAACCCAGCCAACCCAGCCAACCCAGCCAACCCAGCCAACCCAGCCAACCCAGCCAACCCAGCCAACCCAGCCAACCCAGCCAACCCAGCCAACCCAGCCAACCCAGCCAACCCAGCCAACCCAGCCAACCCAACCAATCGATCTTTCCAGAAACAATATACAGTCAACTTCGCCAATAACGACATTCGGCGGGGCATCAGAAAAGTGTCCTTATTCGCGAAGTGTCCTTATAACCGAAGTCCCATTTGAATGTATGTGAACCCATATTTTTGTATAGTGTGATATGCATATCAAAATCAAGCTCTTTTCTTGCTCTATGTCAATGTGTACTTTATTTTCATATTGCAGTTGAAAGGAACTAAAAATTCAATATGCAAGGGAAATCAATTGAAAAATATGCCTTTTTGAGCCATCTACAGGGCCAGAGATATGTACATGTATGATGATTACTGTACAATCATGTACAACTACATGTACATTGTATACATATAGGTGTGCTGGTAAATCCAACAATTTTGAAGCCAACATAAAAAAGGAAGAAAAAGCCCCTCCCCGCCCCCCCCTCTTGGCTGCATTTTCTTGCATGTGTGCAATAATATCCATCACCAGTGCACCATTATACAATGTAGGTTCTGGTACTTCTGCATGACAGGTACATGTACTTGACTGACAGGTACTTGAAATAGCTGTCAAAAGCCCAGAAAGTCGTTATTCAAGCAGTGAATATGACCACGGGGCACTAAAAGCATGTCGCTATACGCGAATTGTCGTTATTCAGATAGTCGTTATATCCGAAGTTAAATGTATACAGTTAGATGGGACTTTGCTCTGGGCATGGAAATTCGGTCGTTATTCGCGAATTGTCGTTATATCCGCAGTCGTTATTAGCGAAGTTGACTGTACGTACATGTCTCCAATACTGGTACAGTCTCCTATAGTGGTACAGGTCTGACCACCTTTGAAAAAATAGAAGTGCTGGGTATTTATTGGGCATAGTACGGTACATCACTTACATGTGCTCCGGCGACCGGAGTGCTGGCGATGATCCTGGACGTCTCCAAGAGCTCATCCTGGTCCCGACCGCTGGGTCCGCGGTCCGGGTGCGGTGTCGAGTGCAGCTGCACCTGCGGTGATGGAGATTGTATGCTCTCCTCGGAGATGTGAAAATTCAGCGCATCATCTGACTGAAACAAGTCTGATTGTAGAACAAGCAACAGCAACGACACAAAGAGACAGTTTTGAGCATCAAAATTTTGGAAAAAGACCAATTACGTATTTTTCATTGGTTTTGAGCGGAAACGTTTGAAGAAAAGTTTGAAGAAATGTTTACAACATTGGGAAAAAAATTGAATATGTATTTCTTACACTATTAGCTGTTCGCAACAGTATTGTAAAGCAAGATTTCGTGACTTGGTGCATGCCATATTTGGCACAGAGCTAATAGTCGGTCCTCTTTATGATTGCATTTTCTTGCTTCATGAAGGTCATGTCCTTACGTGAAACAGGACCTAAATTCAATGAATGTGATCACTCGGCCAGAAAGAACCCAGCCCCCAATCAAACTTGCTCACCATGCCCCTTTCCTTAGTGTCCAGGCAAAATATTTCACTACATTCTTTCTTGCTACACTTACACACTCTTTCTTGCTATGTTCCTTTCTCCCCAAAGCATAGCCAACTCACAGTAGGGGGTTGTAAGTAATGTTCAGTGCATGCTGTGAAAGATAATTATATGATCTAATCTTCTACAGGTTTGCATGAGGAGTATACATCGTATAGAGTGCACACCGCACAGCGGAATGCAAACCTTCCTGTGGAGAGAGGATAACTGCAAGAATCGCGCTGCAAGTGCTGCCATTCTGTACGCAACATGAAGAGAACTCTAAAACCAGCCACAGCTACTGATATTGTCACTCATGATCAAGTCATTGGTCTTTGGGAGCATTCCACTTACAAGGTCCAATCAGTGCTGACGTGACTCTGGCCATTCGAAGGGTACAGCTTGGAGGTGACTCTAACAGCAGGTTGATCGCCTCCTGATGAGTGAGGCCGTCCAGGCTTTTGCCGTTCACCGCCAAAAGACGGTCGCCTAGTGTCACACACCAGAACAAGAGAGAATTGCAAATTGGACACGGACATTCACTCCACAGCAATACTGATGGACGATACCCTGTAGCGATGAATCAATGTACACATCGCTCATTCAATAAGATCCGCCGTCTCCTGCTTTCACCTCTATTCTCATCTTTCAGCACCTGCCCTCTCCATTCTCGGCTTGGCTGCTGGGACCTGGTCAAGTGGCTTAAAAACTGGAAAGTACATGTATAACAAGCAAGTTGCCCCGCAGCTCATGATCTCTGGCGAGTTGAGACAGCCACCCGCACACTGCAAACCCCATGCCCCATAAAGATATCAGAGCAAGCTCATGGCCCAAGACCACTATTCCAGTACCTCGCTGTATTTCACCACACTTGTACGCTGCACTGTTCGGTGTTAGCTTCTTGACCAGGATGCCCGAGTGACTCGTGTCCGTACCACCAACAATCAGCAGACCTGCACGCATAATCCGAATTAGAGTGTGGCCGAACATTATTTACACAGTGGAAACAAATTATTCAACAAACTAGGAAAGCGGAGAACAAAAAAGCAAGCAATGTAGATGTGGTGATGCCGGCATGCTATTACGGCATTGGAGAGAAATCGCATTGCGTGAGAGTCAGGTGATAACCGCTGGCAGAATGCTGCATATGCAAGGAGCAGAGCCACTGGATTCTAGTTCCTGCACAGAGTCTCTTGCAATAGCAATTACCAGACAGCTAACCAAAGGTAAACGTCATGGTGTCAATAGTCGGTTCTGCCTGTAGGAGCTGAGTCTTGCTGAAATTGTGTAAAAGCGAGTTTAAAGTATCATTGGTTTGATGGAAAGGGTGCAAATGGGAAATTGAGTTTAAACGTAACTAATAATTATAGTACTTCCCCTCGAACCAGTGCATTACTTACCAAGGCCGTATTTTGGATTCTTGATCAGTGTAACCGTGTAGTGCTCCATTTGGCTGAGGGGAATGCTGGACAGGCCCTTCAACTTCATTTCTGACATACTCTCGTCTGAACATGCCAAGAACAAAAAAATGCCGGCATTCATATACACATGCACACATGCGTACCAGTATAGACTGAAGTACACTAATGGCTAGAGGCACACGCAAGTCACCAACTTTCAAAGCGGCTTAGCCCATATATCGCTGTCGTGTGATTCGCTGATGCAGTAAGCAGAGAGCAGTCAATAGTTTGTTATTTTAAAAATACGACTGGACTAAGCAGGTGTTCTCATTCGTTACCCTACACGGGGTGGCCGACATGTACAGTGCTTGCCAATAGCATTCATCCTGATTTAAGTGGCGCCATGTTGGAGTTTGAGGACATAGTGACTGAGTCTAGCATATAATTGCAGTGCTCGTAATATGGCTTCGATCATGCAGCACCCAGCACTTAGTCATGGGAGCAAATTTCAATAGCCAAAGAACGAGCACATACATGTACATGAAGAATAGATGAATGGGTTCTGGATACAGTAATCAGCTCACCTTGGTACACCTAAAATATTTAATAGAACTGCAACCATTGGCTTCTGTGGACCTCCCCAGGCTCTGATTTTCCCAGGATGATGCCACACATCATAAGTGAATGAGTACAATTCGTGACCTTGAATACTCTTTCCCATGTCCTCTGTGGATAGACAATGTATGCATTGTACAGATTTCTCATCTGCAATGGATCATAAAACAATCACGGCTGACTTCCTCACTCACCACGTTTCATAAATCTTTGGGTCTCGAAGTCCGGAGGAGATGCCTCATCGCTCCCTTGAGTACAGAAACAAACAAAAACTCCGCAGTTACAGAAACAGCTGTACAATGTTCAGAGGTCAGAAGGTAAAGTGAACAACAGAGCAACATGCTGTCAATCTTTTGATCTTTCACCACCACGTGATATCAGTTGGCAAATGGCTTTTCGCAACTCAGTACTAAATAGAGCAAGGCTGATGGAGTAACTTTAGGACACTGGGGGTAGGGCACCTTGTGTCCCACAAACTGTAGATCCCTTGGCCATTATTCTTCACATGTTGCCACACAGGGACACACACATACAGTCAACTAATAACGACTGCGGATATAACGACAATTCGCGAATAACGACAGAATTTCCATGCCCAGAGCAAAGTCCCATCTAACTGTAATACATATTGATGAGACTTCGGGTATAACGACACTTCGCGAATAAGGACACTTTTCTGATGCCCCGCCGAGTGTCGTTATACGCAAAGTTGATTGTACACACATGCGTGTGCGTACACTCGCACACATCCATGTACACACACACACACACACACACACACACACACACACACATACATGCACGCACACACACACACACACACACACACACACGGGCCCGCATAGACAACGCTCACATGAACACAGGCACACAGCCGTGAGCTGAACCAGAAAAGACATGTGGTGTTACCTGCCACGAAAAGCGTTGGATCTTCCAATGTATTGGGTGGCGCCGCCGGAGGGGAGTAACTGCTACTAAATCGTCCTTCGGTGTCAGGTGAGGTAACTGATTCTTGGTCTTCAGGAATAACTTGAGATATGATGCGCGTTGACTGTCTTGGAGGATTCACTACAGGTCAAGTGCATCCAGCCAGTAACACAAAAGGATGTAAAAACAGGTCCAAACAATTTCAGTCTTTGAACACTAGGATATTGTTAGAAAGGCTTCCAGCTCCGTGAACTGTTCATCCTCATTCATACACATCGCAAACATATGAGGCCTGCCAACAATTTGGTTTCGTCATACAGAACTCATTGCGTAGGGAAACCTGGCCGAAATAGGATTTCTAACAATTGAACAGAAGGAGATTGTCTCAAAGAGGAGCTGATGAAAGAATAGGCAGAGCCAGAAAACCATTCCACGATACGAAAGAAACAAAGGAAATCATAGATGTGCCAGAATTGTGAAGGGAAACCCCCTCGAATACAAAACACATAGTAAAGGTCTCTGTACGCTAATCTAGAAAGATGAAGTACAATTCACACGTGCACAGTTTGGAGGACATACCAAGTACGCAGCTGCACCGGACACACAACTTGAAAACCATGCACTGTAAAGCTCCAGCCTATCTCAACCTACCCATGCCGTTCTTCAGTCGCAACTTTCGGCTAAAGTCATGGAATGATTTGCACAGGGCGATCAAATACTTGGACCTGCAGGACACGTTGACAGACATAAAGAGTCATGGCACAACGCTATCCAGGCAACATGAGCATATCCAGTGGGTGGGTGGGTGTGAGGGTGGGTGTGTGTGTGGGGGGGGGATGGGGGGGGGGGCAAGTTTGCATACCTGTACAGAGAAACTGCACTTGGTGTCAACCACGGTTAAAGTAACAAGGTGGATGTGTTCCAAAGAAGGAGAATACAAGCCCATCATCAACCCAGACCTTCATCAAGTGTTACCAATGCTCTAGCACATGTCACTGCAGCAAGTACTCCCTCGATCGTTGCAGCAATACACATCACCAACCCAGAATGGAGTGCATGGAAGAAGTTATAAGTTAGTGCAAGGCAGTAGCAGTACAGCTAGGATCCCACTGAAAGCGTCCAGTCAGATCTGTGTGTTATAGACAACCCCTGCAACAATAGACCAACAGCACCTCCCCCCCCCCCCCCCCCCCCCCCACACACACACCCTACACCCTACACGCACGCACGCACCCTAGCCCTTTTTTTGAACTCGTTCTCAATCTCTCTCTCTCTCTCTCTCTCTCTTTCATAATGTAGTCGCTTGTCTTTCTCTCCGCCTCTTCGTTTCCCTAATAAATGTCTTCCCACTACTAGTACTTTCTGTCCCAAGTTGTTCCTTTGTGTCTGGGATTATGACTCCTTTTGTGACTCAACAAATTAATACTAGGTTTTTTCAGACCTGAAAGTGTCCAGCCAAATTTCATGACCCTACAAAAGAGTTCTGAAATTCACAGTGTTATAATCACTCGGACTAATAATGTTCACATAACTAACATTTTGTAATGATCAGTCCACACTGTCACATTGTCCAAGTGCTGGTGATTCGGTCTCTGGCGTGGCACGATTGTGAACCGGCATTTCTGGAGCAGGATATAGCAGAGACAAAAACAGCAGCGAGTCTGCTGGTACAGTACTGTCGGTCGCCCAAGAGCTGGGGGGGTGGGGGTGGGGGTGGGGAGGGGTTTTGGGGGCAGCCTCCTAGCCTAGACTGTTCTTATTTTAAATTACTTGGTCCGCCCAGATACAATTGGCGCTTATCTTCACACTTGTCTCAGGAAGAAAATACATATATTTGAAGCGTGCCACGATCACAAAACACTATGTACATGTCAGTAAGCAACTCAGCCGAAATTTCAAGCAAGTTACACGTCCTCCTCGCCAATATCGTCGCTGGAGGAAGAGCTAAAAAAATTCGATCCGGGCAGCTGCTGCGCGTTTCATAGCTTGTTCCACTTCTGCTGGTCTAGAATCACGCTCAAAGGCAGTGCGTGTCACCTTGCCGCTCAGAAGCTGAGTGAGACTGCCCGCATGTTGGCTGTAAGTGTTATCCCCGTTAGTCGCAATAATGCCTTTGTTTGAAAGAAAAAGGCAACGCCACATCAGTGTCCTTTTTCGCCTCTTGCGCTTGTTGTACTTGCTGATCAGCACCCATGCGAGCTGCTGGTGCTTGTTCATGCAGCGCAGTGATAGCTTCCGCTTGATGTAGCACCTGTGCATACTGCACCTACAAAATCCTAATGCCTTGCACCAGTCTTTTCGGCTAGTTTCCTGAAAGTCCTTTGCAGGAGAGTTTCCCTCAAGACTTGGTGTGTATTTTAATTAGCTCCATTGCCCGGTCCTCTGTGAGCTCCAGAGTGTGTCGGCCGGATTAGTCTCACTTTCTGGAGATGTCGACATGAGCTGCAGTTTCTTCGTCAACGATTTGCTGGCGATAACTCTTCACTGGGCGCTGTACTGTGCGAGCACTGAAATTCAAGCTCACGAAGAGCTTTTTTTAAAAGCTTTTCTATACCTCTCCGCGGTAAACAATCCTTGCCACCAGACAGCTTGAAGTAGGCAGAAACTGTTCTCCATCGCTCTGAAATGTGAACATCTTGACCTATTTTCCGGTCTGGAGCGGAGGTTGCAGCGTCTTCTTTCGCTGACGGAAGTGTTCGTAGGTGGCAGCTCCAGTCAAAAAGACTCAAGCAAACCGATCGCAGCTTCTGTGAAGGTTGGTGCTACCATGTTGTCGGATGCAATAGTCAATGGTTATGTTCGGATGGTGAATCGGTGGTTCCATGCCGTAAGACACAGGCAGAACACCGACAAATCAAGTGCGAAGATAAGCGCCAATTTTAACTTGGCAGACCAAGTAGAGTCTTTGCACAGTTGAGTCACCGTGTATACATTGGTACGCAGTGCTTGGTGAAATCCTAGCCTGGTCGTTCTTCGGCGCCCGGCAGTACTGTACTATTGAATGGCTAGTGAGCCGCATGCATGGTCAAGTGATTCTTGACGAACTGCAGCACACCGCAGAATGTAAAACATGCTCAAATGTATGGATTGGATGTGTCTCATAATAGCATCCATGAGCCAGGGAACTGGCACATGCATGGTGCAGGCAAGTTTAAAAAGCAAACAAATGCAAGATGTTCACACTCTTAGGATATCTGCACCTGTGAGATATCTGCACCTGTGAGATATAAGACCTGGATAGATACCTGTCAAGGGATTGAATGAGGACAGTGAAGTCGGCAAGCACACACTCAGCTGAATTGAGCACAGTATCAGGTGGTTACCTTGAAAAGCAGATTGTCGATGCCTTGCCAGCTGAACCTGTGCAACTTCTGTCTCTCATTGTGCTTCATTGCCTAGACAGACGCAAGACACAATATTGATCAAAGGTCAGCATCAGCACGATAAGAAATACAGTCGGGAATTAGAAACTTCCTAGATCATTTTTTTAAACGTTATGCTTCCAATACAGTTATCAGGCATAGCAAGGGCCTTGTTTAACCAAACTACAGACATTAATAGAGTCCAAACCTCCTCCCCCCCCCCCCCCCCCACACACACACAGGGCATTAGCCTTCTGACAATGAAGCGGCATACATAGTATTATTATTACATACCCACGCATCTTTATAGTCATACAATGATCACAGAGCAATTTCGCAACCAAGTTCTTTTCCGCCGTTACTCAAAGTTTCGTGTGAAAACACTCATCAGACAGCAAAAGACAGCATCTTTATAGTCTTGTACAGTTCATTACAATGCTGGTGCTGGTGCTATTGCTGGTGCTGGTTGTGTTATGACATACCATAGTCAGGAGCACACCTCCAAGATAGATGCCAATGGACATGCTCGGTGGTGACTCATGCTTGCTGCGGCGAACCCGGTGGAACACTATACCATACTCCTGTAGCTCTCGGGCCAGCTGTAGATTGGAACAAGCATACACGCACACATGTATGCAACATCAACCGAGACATGAACGCACACACGCATGCAAGCATGCACCCATACAGGACCAACACATGAACGAACACACGCATGAAAAAACACATGCAGCCAGGCCCACATAGGTGAGCATGCGGATTATACGGTACCATGGGCCAAGGCGGTGATATACGTTGGTAGGAGTGGGAATCCTCATCTCTCGATGCGATTTCCACACTTGTACACCTACATGTACGCCCACACACCCATCAACCCACCTCCATGCATACACGCGCACATGAATGAGTGCTTGACATACGGGCCAAACACCTGTAAGCATGTTCACGAATGCATGAGACGCATGTTCTCCATTTCATCCAATGTGTGCTCAGTTCCACTCACTTCAACAAACTTGGTCTGTGCTTGTCGGTGACTAGCTCCTTTGTGAGAGGTGTGCAGTGCAGTTAGCCGATTGTGTAACTCTTCGTTAGTCAAACGCTGCACAGCCTGTATGCCGGGAAGGATAGGGAGAACAGGTGTGATACATCAACAAGAAGGGCAGAGTTAGCAGTGCTGAGATTCACGTTGCCTCGGCTATGTTCACAGGACATGAAATTCATACGGTTTTCTTTGTCAGGTGTACCCACGTTCTTTGCACAATGCTAAGGTTTGCATCAGGAGCACCCAAGACAGATAGAAATCTCATGTATCTCTTTTCTTGGGTGTTTCAAAGAGTGCACTTCTGACTGTGAAAGAAAGCATGGGAAATTTGACCTAAGTAATGCATACGTGTGTACAAAGTGGACTCAGCTGCAGGAATGGTTGCAAGCAAAAGTACCACATATTC